TGTGAAGGTACCACTCAGGGTGATGCTCTGTGAAGGTACCACTCAGGGTGATGCTCTGTGAAGGTACCACTCAGGGTGATGCTCTGTGAAAGTACTGCTTGGGGTGAGCATATAAACTGAGTCTGCAACAAGTCAAATTCACATGAATTTCTGTGGTGTGTGATGGGTTCTATAGGTGTGTGTATACACACCCCTAGATAAACTGAACACTGGGTTTTAAGAGGACCAAGAAAAGATCTGAACCCCTCAAGGAAAGGGGTGCATTAAAGTAGAAATCAGACCACAGGCCCATTTACAGGAACAAATCTGCCCCAAGTACAAGCTATGGCATCCATGATAATCCTTCCTAAACATTTCTTCTCCAGAGTGCCGGAGAGTCCAGTATCTTGCTCATCTGAATTCATGGTACTTGCATCTAGAATAAAGACCCAGTTTCATTCACTAAGATCCATAACACTCTTCCAACAAAGCACATGACCTAAGCAGCAAAGTCAAATCAAGGGATTTGAAATGCTGTATTAATGACAGTATTAATCAAGCCCCTGTTTCTAGGCAAATTAAGTATCAGAGCAAAAAAGGTCAGAATGTTCTATGGAATGTAAACAAAGCAAACAATACTATCACGTTGAGTACAGCAACATTCAAAAACAGCTTCGACCTTCTGGCCCTTCCCTTCTCCCCACTATTGTTTGTCCCAGGTGTCCCTCAGCCAAAACAACAGATAGGAATCCTGCACCAGGGTACCTTGTCCTCCTTCCAGCTCCCTTGCCTTTAAAAGAACTGGTCAACACCAAGGTTTGGCAGGGACTATGATTCTTTACCAACACAGCCAAGCCTTTCTTCTTTAGGATAGGATGGGAAGGGCCTTACTATGACGCTCAGGCTGACCTCTAATGTACAGTCTTCCTGCCTCAGTCTTCTGCCTGCTAGGATTACAGGCATGCATCACGACAACCCACTATCCTTTCATTATTATAAACTGAATCTTGTTAAGTTTATTTATGTTAACTTCCAAAAATACGGTAGTGGAAGGATGAAATGGAATCAGAAATGTATTTTTGGAAAAAGGGTTCTGAAGAATTCTGTGTTACTAGCTTTTCATTTGTTTGTTTTTAGAGGTTTTTTTTTTTTGGAATTTGATGTACTTATAAAGCACTACGGTATCAAAGCACACCAAAACTCAGCTTTAGCTAAGGGCACTTGGCCTGCCCCAACCCAAGTTAACTTCGAAAACAAAACACTGCTTTAAACCAAGCCTAATATTTTAGCTGAAGACTCTAAATCTCTTTGAACCATGGAAGATGGCAGCCTTGCAGCAGGCGGTGGGAAGGTCCGCTCCAACTATCACACAGCTACTAAAGCCCGATCAAAGTATGAGCGCAGGGACGGCATTAAATATGTTTTAACGTGAAGTTAAGATTTTCAACACTGTTTTGTCTAGACATTTCTAATGTCAAACTTTAGAAGGCAGTGAGAAATAGTTCTTATGTGATGGGGAAAAAAACAGCCCAAGGAGCCTGACTTAGGTTGAAAAGCAGAGGAAAGCAAGAAGGGGATGGGACAGGGCAAGGGCAGACTGAGTGGCTGATTCACTCTCTCCCTCTCTCTCCCCCCCTCCTCTTGTTCTCTCCCTCCCATCCTCGCTTCTTCTCCCTCTGAGTTAGAATCTCACTGGAACTATGTAGACCAGATTGGCCTTGAACTCACAGAGACCAGAGATCTACTTCTGCTTCTCAAGTGCTGAGACTAAAGGTGTGTCATCACAAGAGGCTGTGACTGATAATCTTAATGTTATTACTGGGTACAGATGGAAAACGGAGTCTCATCCGCCCTAAGCTACACATGGCCAGGGTGTCGCTGTGAGTGAGCTTTTCATTCTCATGCAACCACAGGACTCCAGCATGGACATAGGTTTAGGGACTGTACGAAGACACCCCGATGTCAAACGGGTTAATCTGAGAACTTCAACAATGATGACAAGGTCCACAATTATTTTTGTTATCTCTTTCATAAATCTAATAAAAGTAAATTTTACTTCATTTTATGAAGTAAAATAGCAATAAAATCGACCATTAATAATAGCAAAAACTAGTTATGCCACTCATTTTATAAACAAGGAGACCAGGGTCCAAGAAGGCAAGAAAAGTTGCCCTTGGTAACTCAGTAAGAAAGAGACAAGAAGGAGAGTCAGGATCTTGCTGAGGTCACTTCAGTCCTGGGATGGAGTAGCTGTTACTCATGACCTTTCACACCTTCATAGCTCCAATCCTGGGCAAGGAGACTGAAAACTCCATTTTTTTTTTAACCATGGAGGAAACAATGAAAGGTGTCATCCTAAAACTGAAGGGCACCACATGCCAAGACATCTCCAGCCTTGAAGCCTTTGCTCTATTTTTCCCAACACCCACCCAGGAGATGCTTAGGCAAGCCTTCACAATGACTCTGCCACACTCACTTTGCCTTCAATTAGCCTCCGGGGATAATATAACATTGCTATATCCTGCACAGGCTGTCGTCTGAAACTTGTCCACAATGAGGAAGCTGGGTACACAGTTAGAATAACCAAGGACTGGAAAGCTGAGTGTAAGGTCATCCTTCGACCCATCCTGCTAGAACTAGTCAAACAGAGTAATATACATGTGCACTGTTTAACCGTAAATACACAAAGAAAAACCTTTCTCAAGTCTTTTATGAACTGGCGACACGGAGTATGCTGTCACATACTCCAAGGGTTCTTGACAATAATGCCAGGGGATTCAGCTGAGCTGGGATCTTGTGATTCCTGCTTGTGATGGAACTATATGCTATCTTTGCCCGTTGGAACAAACACCAGGCAACTGACATCAAACCTTGGCACCAACACTCAGAACTTCCCAAGTCAACCATTCCAGGAAGCTTGAACATTACGCAGCACACACAGGGTGAACTCTGTTGCCTTGAAGGCCCCTGATGGGCTCTGGTGTTGACACACAACAGCTCTCCCTGGCCTTTGGCAGTCTGGCCTTAGTGGCACAATAGTTAGTCCCAGAGCTGCCAGGAGCCGCATAATTGCCTTTTCAAACACAAGAACAACGTTACATGAATTTCTAAAAGTTTTCCTTCAGGGTTGATTTTGCAGTTGCTGTTTAGAATTTATATAATCCTGAAAGTCAGCTGGAGAGATTGCTGGACCAAACCATTTAAAGCTCTACCTAAGTGACAACATGGGATGCTTAGTCAAAAGCAGCATTCACAGAGCCACAAACGGTGCCATTCAATCTCCAGTTAGTGCTTCATAGGTCTTTAAACCTAAAATTATTTTTGTGATATTAATGGCTCACTTTAACACGATCTTATTCTGCCATTCAACATAATTCCTTCTGAGGCTTTACTCCCCTGTGCTTAGCAAGAACAAGGACACAAGGTGGAAACAGGAAACACCCCACAAAAAACAGCCAAGGAAAAGGAGACAGAGTCTGAGGAGGCAAAGAAAAGGCAAGCAAAGGGGGACAAAGAAGGCAGGTACAGGCGGCTTGTGTGGAAAGTCACAGAATACGTATGTTCTGGTTAAAGACTGTCATATATTAAGTCACAGAATATGTATGTTCTGGTTAAAGACTGTCATATATTAAGGGATGAAAAACAAAGGCCACAAGAGAGTGGAGAGAAGCTGCAAAAGACACACTCCTAAGAAAGAGAATTCTGAAAAGTTATTTGAATATGGGAAAGAAACAAACTAAGGGAGACAGCCTAGAAGGATCCATGGGCTAAGGGGACCCAGAGTCTGGAGGGACCCACGGGCTAGAGAAGGCTCACCATTCCCATCTTCATCCGTCCCTCTGGGTCCTGAGGTGGGAAGGGGATGTCTGCTTCAGTTCTTAACTATGCTGCAGACCAAAGACTTTTGCACATGCTGGGCGGGGACCTTCTGGGCAGCTCGCAGAAGGAGAACAAAGGTAACTGCGCAAGCCGCTTGGCCCCTCCCCTGGGCAGGACTAGCAAAGTTTGGGGCAGGAGACACAAGTCAACCAAACATCTTCACAACAGAACAACTTCACTCAAACTCAAGAAAAATGAGGCTATTCATAGAAATCCTACACAGCTAGGAGAGTTATTTTTACTCAACTCTCTCTGTGCCTGAGAAAACTGCCTCCTGCAAGCTTTGCCTGAGGGAAAGCTGGAGCAGGAAGGAGGGAGAACATAGACGGACCCCTGTGACACCACAACCCAGAGATGCTTATAAGTGACACCATGAGTCACAGCAACAGAGACGGCAGTCCCAACCTCCAACGGGAAGCGGTGCTAGGGGGAGTCACGGACCAGGAGAAAAGCTGCTCTCTGACCTCATCCCAGTGTGGTTCAATAGGTCCTCATAGGTCGTGGGTCACCAGGTAGCCTATCAGCTACTTGGCTTTGCTGTAGATTCTGGGACACAGTGTAAAAATATCTTGTTTTCTTGACATTGAATGTGCCAAGTCATCTGTCCTTACAGGGCCAGAGTTCTGAATCTCCACTCCTCACTCCAGTCCTATATTCAAACTTTCTTAAAATAAAAAAAAAGATTTATTTATTTATTTATTTATTATGTATACAGTGTTCTACCTGCATGTATGTCTGTACGTCAGAAGAGGGCACCAAATCTCATTACAGATGGTTGTGAGTCACCTTGTGGTTGCTGGAAATTGAATTCAGGACCTCTGGAAGAGCAGTCAGTGCTCTTAACCTTTGAGCCATCTCTCCAGCGCCCTCAAACTTTCAAACTTTCAAATTAGCACGTTGGTTCCTTGGTGCAGGGAGTGGGGGGAGTTTTGAGGAAGAAATCTTGATGTTTCAGTGGGCCTGTCGTGCATGGTCTCTGGTGTAGGAGTTCCTTCTATTGTGTGTTGCTTTCATTGGATAATGAATAAAGAAACTGCCTTGGCCTAGGTGACAGGGTGGAACTTAGGTAGGTGGAGGAGAGAGAACTGAATTCTGGGAGAAAGAAGGGCAGAGTGAGAGATGCCATGGATCTCCTGCCTGAGACAGATACTGGTTAGAATATTACCGGTAAACCACAGTCACGTGGCGATACACAGATTAATAGAAATGGGTTAAATAAAGATGTAAGAATTAGTCAATAAGAAGTTAGAGCTAATGGGCCAGGCAGTGTTTAAATGAATACAGTTTCTATATGATTATTTAGGGTGTAAGCTAGCCGGACAGCTGGGAAAAACAAGCGGGCCCTCTCCCCATGCAACAGGTCTCATTGCTTGGGGAGCTTTCCTAACTGCATGTTCCCACACAGATCCCAAGAGACACTAACTCAGCAGCCCAAGATAGGATTGACTCAAGAGAAGTTGCCATGAGTTATCAGAGAGCTCTTGGCAAGGAGGGGGCAATCAAATGCACAGAGTCTATCAGGAGGGCAGGATCAGCAGAGCAAAATCCTGTGTTCAGAGTTCCCCAGACCTTGGCTTGAATCCCAACTCAACCACGTCCTGTGTGACTTTGCACAAACTACCTAATCTCCCCAAGATTCTTCAGGCTCGATTGGTGGGCTGCTAGGAAGATGAAAATGAGGTTGACAGTAGTGACATGATCCGCACACAGCCTCACACTGGACACCAAAGTCTCTAAAATTGTGGCTGAGTGTGTGGAGCTATGAAAAATTTGGAATCAGTAAAAGTTTTAAATCATGGAATGACTGAAAACGAATTCAAACTCAAAGAAAACAAATTCAAGGTATTTCTGGCTCCACCCAAGTACCAGGAAGCTCCATTGTGTCCTTGCTTCTGAGCATACATGTACACCATGCACTGCACACAGTATCACACCATAAAATCCTAAGGTTGCCTGAAACACTCTAGCTCAGTGTTTTGACTGTACAGAGAAAGATTTCTGGGGATGATGATGATGATGATGATGATGATGATGATGATGATGATGATGATGATGATGATGATGATTTTGGTTTTTCGAGACAGGGTCTGTGCAGCTTTGGAACCTGTACTGGAACTCGCTCTGTGGACCATGCTGGCCTTGAACTCACAGAGATCCACCTAACTCTGCTCCCTGGTCCTGGGATAAAAGGCATGAGCCACCACCATCCAGCTTAGGATAAATTTCTTTCTGGTTTATTATCAGTAAATGTTTGATATGTATATACATGAAGCAGCACATACATTTCTCAGGTGAAGAAGGTCACAATGGAAATGTTGAAGCAGCTTTGGTGTTAGGTGGAATAACAGTAAGGGCACGGAAGTCACCACACAATGCTGTCCTTTAAAGAAAATTTGGGGGAGGGGAAAGGTTGCCTTTCAGAGGGAAACAGAGAAGTGTGGGGTAGCGCCGAGCTGCCTTAAGGATTATAAAATGCCCAGACAGCTCTTTGCTGTAATTTACAGAGGTTTATTTTCTTTCAACATTTAAACTCATTAAGAAATGGCCGTCCCATTTATCTTCCAGCATCTGCCTAGAAGTTTACTTGCTCACTCAGGGAGAACGAAGGTTTTTAGGCTGGGGCAAGCACATGCTCACAGGGCCCACTCAGAACAATCAGCTTTGAGATACTTAGAAGTATCTTCTTTTTTAAAAACGACTACAATTTAGACAGACATACCAGCACTCAGGTAGGCTGTCGTAGGCTTCTTACAGATAACCCTACTTCCAAATTCTGAATTACAAGACAAGAGAACAACAGTAGCACCAACCAGACTACCCCCCGATGAGACCCAGGGCTCCGATTTCTAGGTTCTCTCTTGTCTGAACTCTCCCTTCCTTCCCCCCTCTTTCTTTCTCTCTCTTCCTGTTTAAGGGTCTCACTAAGCAGCCCTGGCTAGTCTGGAACTTACTATGTAGTCCACTACAGCATTAAATGCATGGTAATCCTCCCGCCTCAGGCTCCTGAGCACTGGGATTATAGGTATGCACCTCTACTGCCTCTACTTCTCAGTGCATGTTAGCACCTATGGCAGAGCCTGCATTCGGTGCTGATCTGTAGTCAATGTGCAGACAGAGCCCCAGAGCAACCTGTGAGGCATGGCACCATGGACAGGGCTAAGGTGGACCTTTGGCACTCACAGACACGTTGCTTATGATGCTCAGACAGGATAAAAACCACAGATTCAGAAAGCCAGAAAACCTCCTGAACATAAAAAAAAAAAATTAGGCCCAACAATTATTAAAATTTCTCACGTGCCTTGCACATTTGTAAAAAGCCTTTACCTAACTGAATATAATCAGCAATATGCTAGACTTGTCATCTAGGCAGGGTGGGGGCGTGAGAGAATCTACCCTATTTTTAAAAGACCTCTTGGGGAAGACAACGTCTTCAAAATTCGTGTTAAAGCATAATCATCTTCATTAGTATGGCTTCTTATGCTCAACTTAAACTTTTTAACCTTTTAATTTTTTAAGGCCACTTTTTCATTTTTCTGTCTCTGAAAATATTGTGGGTATACACAGACATACATAAACATACCCACTTCTGAAAATGTGTGACAAGCTCTCTTGCCTTCTCTTACTGTTTATATCTCTAGGCAAAACAGCCCTGCTTCCTCTTGTGCCAGATTTCCCATGTAACAGAAAGCAGACCCTGCTATCAGCCTATGTTGCAAGGTGCAGTGACCAAGAACTTGATTCTGGGCCATGATATCCTGCCTTGAGATCACAGCCAAGACAAGGGAAGCCAAGGGCCCTGTCTAGGACAGGCTTTGGGCCATCTCCCAATCCCGTGGGAGTAACAGGATTTCTCCAAGATACTTTCCTTCAGTCACCTTTTACAGCCTTCTTTGATACTGTTCACCCCCATATCACACCCTCCCCCCCCCCTTCCCCAGCGTAAGAATAACTCCAAGGTAAAGGCATAGCTGTTCTCCGTATCAGGTCATACTCCAATCCAGCTCTTGTATGAAATGCTCCCAGTTTAGCCCAAATCTTCTTTTCAAGGATTATCATATCTCACCCAAACTGACACTTAACCTACACACCTCTTCAGGAATTCCCAAAAAGAGACACCCTGAGGACCTATGGCCAGAGGCGCCCAGTGACCACTACATGTAGTGTGGGAAACTGGTAAGCTTCTATTGTTGATAGCTGTCAGGTCTCCCTCCTCAGTTTCCTGAAGTCACTGCCCAGCCATCAGAATACACTAAGTGACACCCCAGACACCAGACCTTGGGTAGTTGATACAAGCTGCTTTTCTCAGAGCCCCACACATTATGAAAGCTACCCCTTAAGGTATGCAAACCCTACAGGGGCAGGTATTAAAATGCCATGTGGAGAGACAGTCACACAAAAGGTTAGGGGGAAGCAAATAAACAGGAAGATTTCCTCAGCTACCAGCAAAAACCCCATGGCGAGAAGTAACAGTACCAGTTAGGAGCAAGGCACATGATTCCCTGTAATTACCTTCAGATTTAGGACTAGGAGTAGATGCAGGAAACTGGTAGGTAGGAGTGTAAGGGTTGTCCTCTGCAGCAGAGAAAACCAGTGGATTTGAAGCCATCCACCACGAAGCGGAGGAAATGATTAACCCCCGGTTGATACTTTCCAATGATCATCTATTTTAGTGTTATTAAAGCACACAGGCATCACACTTAGATTAATGAATTAGGAAGGACTTAGTTATTTTAATATAGCACACCATGCAAATGAGTAAAATAAAATGTTCACAGGCCGAAAACGAATATTAAAAACAAAATCTAAAAACCAAATTGTACACCTATAATGGGACTCTAAGAACTAATTTAAAGCTATGACAACAGGTACACTGTCTAAACTTATGGTACCTTCAGAATTTTGCAGGATTTCAGGAAGTTCAGGGAATTTGTAGGTAGGGAAATAAGGGTTTTCTTCAGGAGTGTCTAGGCAGTGGGAGCACGTTTGAGAGAGAGAGAATAGAAAGATACAAACAGAGCGAATAAGTAGGAATCCACACAGTTTACACTCCTTGAATTCTGGGATACAATAATATAAATTCACTAATGATATAAAATAATTCTAAAATCCAGTCTTTTTGCCTGAATTAAGTCATCTCAAAAATATAGAAACTGGCTCCAATGGACAAGAAGTACTAAACACAAAGTTTCAAATTTCACATTTTTTAAGTCAGCAATGTGAAATATGATAAATGAAAACACTATCCTAAAGTGATTTTTTTTTCCAAATCAAAAGCTGGTTTGTGCATATCAGAATCCAGGCAAACAAGTGAGTCTTAAGCTTTCAGGTGCCTCTGCCTCCACTAGGGCAGGTAGGTGTGTCGAGAATCTGTAATTTAGCTGTGTTAATCACGAGAGCACAAGAAGACCATTGGTGCCTCGGAGCAGAATCACACACTCTGTGATATGCATGCATTCATTCCTGCATTTAGCCTTCCAAAGCCAGTTCTGACGGTGGGGGAGTCACCGATGGCTGGAAGAAGTGGGCAGTGACTTTACCGTGGAGACCCAGTCTTTAGCACCACCATGATGGAGCTTACCCACTTGACCTTAGCAAATGTACACCTGACGCAGAGAAGCTGATATTTAGGAAGAGTGTAGATCATTCTGAACCCAGCAAACCTAATTAACAGTGATGTTTAGCATATACAGCTAGGCAAAGAGAGTGGATATTTGTGACTTAAATGGGAACACTGACCAGAACACTATTTCTTTGGTGTATTTCACGGCAGGCGGCCAGACTGGATTTGGGCACAAAGAAAGACAAGATGCTCTGCTCTCAGGAAGAGTGACTCCCTTCCCACAGTGCAGTGACATCTCTGCCTGTCAACTGACTGGCAGCATAGGCAGCAGTGGGGGCTGAGCTTGTAGGGTTGTGATCTGCCAAAGCACGAGCCTGGGGTCCTGCCATCATGCTGGTTCACGCACTGAAATCCCGGGGCCTCTCGATCTGTAAGCCCCTCTTTCAAACTGAGCAGCTCCAGTGTGTCAGCTCACGACTGATTCTCTACCTGCCAAGCTCTGGTCCCCAGTTGGGGAAGCTTACTTCGCACACTAGCATAGCCTCGGAGATTCACAATAGCATTGCACTTCACAGGGTCAAGCATCTTCCCATTTGAATGGCCACAGCATCCTTCAGAGGACTGGAAGCAGGACAGACACAGATACAAGATCCACCTAAGAGCACATAAGTGCCTGGAGGCAGGCTCCAGGGAAGAACAGGTTTCTGAACTCCCAGTTCAGGGCTTTGCTCAGTCTGATCTCACAAAGCAGTCATGGGCTGACACAAGCTATGCCTAAAGCTGGAAGCAGGTGGGAGAAGGAACTGCCTGTTCCCCAGGCAGATAGGTGTGGGAGCAGGGGCGGAGTGCTACTCTCAGCCTCCTGCATGGCACAGCAGCTGGGAGGGAGGACTTGCAAGCTGACCTCAAGTTCCCAAGCTGAAGCAGGCACAGGTACAACCCTCCCACCTGTGCTCTTCGGGTGCATGGCTAAAGTCAGGCAGACCAGTACCTAATGTAATCCAACAGAAGGGGCGCACTTCTGGAGTCAAATGAACTGATAACAGGCCCATAACCAACAGTCAACAAATTCCCACAGAATCACATGACTTATATAAATGAAAATTGGTACCTCTGTTCAGCTTGTGGATCTGTTTAAACATGGTTTTGTACCAGTCTTTTGATCTCTCGGTGTTCTGGAGAAAAACAGAAGCAAAGGGTAAAACAATGGGCAATTCAGAATATCTATGACGACAAAATCAAAATCAAGCAGGGAGGTACTAGGATAGATCCTAGGGCCTTGCACATGGCAGACAAGTGCTCCACCACGCGCATCCCTGGCTGCAGTATTGAGAACTTTCTGTAAAGGCAAAACTTTTGAGAAAGCAGTCATAATAAAAAATTCAGATATGATTTTGAAAAATGAGATTTGGCCTAAGGATGTAACAGACAAAGGCAGATTTGAAATATGCCATGTTTTCTTTCTTTTAAAAACACATACTTATTTTTAATTTATGTACATGAATGCTTTGCCTGTATTAATTTATGTATACTATGTGCACACAGTGTTGGTAGAGACCAGCAGGGGGCATCAGAACCTGCCATGTGTACCCTAAATCTTCTATAAGAGCAGAAAGTGCTCTTAACCACTGAACCATCTTCCTAGCCCTGTGCCCTATATTCCTTAAAATTTCATTTTTAGAGACAGTCTCTCTCCACACACAGACTTCAAGAAACCGAAGCTAAGCCTTCCCAGAACCACAAGGCAATAAATCCTTCTTACCACAATCTATCTCTGCCTCGTCTGGATTATTCTGTACAAATGTATGTAAGTCACCTTGCACAAAGCCATGTTTAAAACACATACATTAAAATGGAACCCAGATGGCAGCCAATTCCAGGATTTTCATGCTTACCTGGAACCAGGCCTTTTCCAAAGACGGAAATAAAATAAGGTGGCTAAATAAGATAGTATCACTCCCATTTTACAGATGAGGGAATTAAATAGAAAAAAAAAATCAAAGTGCATTGTCCCACGTAGAAAAGTGTCAGAAAGTAGAAGGGCCAACTAGTTGTAGACACTCTGCCACCCACACATTGTGAGATCTTGGGAGAGTGATGTGATCCTGCACATCCCTGCCTTTTTGACACTGTGTGCGGATGTGTGTCCTCTGTAGTTAATGGACTTCTCCCAGGGAGGCAGCACTAGGAGGTGCTGGAGAGGTTTAAGAGGTAGGGCCTAGTGACAGGTCCTTAGACCACCGGGGATGACTTCTCCACAAGGATGTGGGATGTCACCCAGCCATCCTCTCTGCTCCCCAGCACACTGTACGAGCACTAATTTTGAGTACACCCTTGTCATGACGTGGGATGTCACCCAGCCACCCTCTCTGCTCCCCAGCACACTGTACGAGCACTAATTTTGAGTACACCCTTGTCATGACGTGCAATCCTTGTCAGAGGCTCCTGCAGAGCAGGTGGCTCAAATTTGGACTTGAACCTCCATAACCATGATCCCAGATAGGCCTTTCCTTACTCCATAAGCAGGCTGTGGTGAATATTCATAACAGTGTAGCTAAGCTGACTGATGTAGCAACCTATGAAAATGATAATTCCTTCACCACCCAAGTGGCAATGTAAGATAAAGTCCAACAGCTTTGATCACTCTCTTTCTCTGTTATTACATGTGGCCAAAGCAGAGTTCTTCAATGGCTTAGACTACTACTGTTTCTATCTACCCTCTGAAAGGGGAAAAAAAAAAACGGTCCATTTTCCAAATGGAAACCAAAGGTCTGGTGGACATATAAGGAAGAATGGGATTACTGTGATCCAGTCACAAAGGGCAAGTTTCCCTGAGCTTCTTGGGGGCTTCAGGAGCACCGGCACCTATCCCAGGAGGAGGCCTGTTGGTCCTGAGGCCTTGAAGGGCCTCCTCTGCCTGGTGGCCTTGTCCTGTTTACCTTTCATGATGAGGCAACTCTTATCCACGAATCTCCCTCCTGAACCCAGATACACAGCCCCACTTTGCTGGGGATGCCCTTAACACTGGAACAAGAATTGCTGATGGGTTCCACGCAGTGACAGTCTTGCCTATGGAGCATGGGCAGCCCAAGCCCATTGGCTGCTCTGCGGCAGAAAAGTTCCTCAACTTTGCTCCACCCAGGCGTTCCTTTTCTCATGAGACTTAGTAACACCCTACACCTACTTCGGAGAAGCTCACTGGGGTGCGGTCTGCGCTGGTGTCAAAGACAAAATCCCTCACCTCCCAGCCACTGTGACCCCCCCCAACGGGGGCTCACAGACACTCAAGGCCATACTCTTGGCAGTACTTGTTTAGGATGAAGCCCAAAGAGGACCTGAAGGTCCATTCATACCCGGAGTGGGATGCCCACTTCATCCATGGACACATTGCTTAGGTCCTGTGTACTCTTCACCACCCGCCTGCTGCTGTCATCTTTTGCTCTCCTTTCGGTGGCCCTGCTGGGCGAGGTGAGTTCTTCTGGGGTTGGCACTGAGTCCTGCTCACCCACTCTTCTCTCTGAGGCAGGATCTGGAAATGAAAAGCAATCACAGGCTTAAATTCCAAAGCCAAAAACTCTCCCACAATCCAGTTAGGGGAAAGGGACATTTGCTAACTTCCAACTGGAACTAGCCCCACGTAGGTCAGGGGTCAGTGAAGTCCAGCCCACTGCCTGCCACCTGCTTTTGTAAGTAACATTTTACTGGAACACAGCCATGGTGGTTTGTCCACACATTGTTTATGAATGCTTTTGTGTGTTACCGTGGCTGAGTATGCTGTGGCCACAGGGCCTGCAAAGCATCAAATGTTTGTTATCTGGCTCTTTAAGAGAAGCCTGTAGAGGTGTGAAATTGCTCTGAAGATATCAGAAAAGGTGAGGGAGCAGGTAAAGTCTCAAGGAGATGGTAATCATTACTGGAAAGTTCCTTTTTTTAAAATCATGGGAGTCACTTAAATCTCCTCATTTAATGTTCCCATGCCTTAGTTTTCTCATTCAAAAAATATGGGAATGACATTTCCATTGGCAAGCTCACAAATATGCTGTAAGGCAAAGTGCTCAGACAGCTAGGCATTGCTGGGTGCTCATTACAATTTATTTAACCTGGTTTACGACTGGAACTTAGAGAGTCAACAAACAAACCAGGAATGGTCCACAGATTACATGGTCACTAGTTACTGTCTGTTTTTCCAAGCCAGACTATCCAGCTACTGGAGGTGTTCCCTAAGCACCTGCCAGGTGTTATGCCCAGTATTCTGCATGCAGACATGAAGGTGAACCTCTCAGACTCTTAGTCTTCAGGGGGCTTACACTCTAGTGGACCAGCAATGAGAATTTGAGTAGTGAGGGCCGACACCGGAAGTCAGTACCCAGCTTAGTTGCAGAATTTAGTTTCAGAGCCAACTTCTCTAAGAGGAGTCAACCAGATGAAAAGAAAGTGGAGGATGTTCCTGGCAGAAGGAACAGCACCATCAACTATGTGCCGTCTTGAACTATTCCGACTTAATTAGGTGCCTGGCATTGCACTAAACTCAATAAGACAAGAAGAATTCATGGCTTTAAATTAATTAATTAGTTAATTAATTAATTAATTAAAAAGGCCTTAGAGGCATCTAGGAGATGCTGCAGGACCCAGCTGGCATGCCTTGGCAGGATGGAGTTTACAGTTACCAACACAAAGATGATGGCAGATCTTTATGGTAGAAGGAAGTGAGCAAGCAGAGCCCAGGGCTGAAGTCACACACTGAAAAATACAAAAGAAACAGGCAGAGAAGCAGAGAATCCCCAAGCCTGTGTGGGAGCATCTGAGCAGCAGGAAAGGAACAAGAACTCAGAGAGAGCAATTTCAGGAGGCCAACAGGCACAGGCGCCAGACTGCAGAGAAAGGGACACGCGTGAAAAAGAAGCAGGGGTGAACTCGACACAGAGAGAAAGAATTGTGTAAGATGGAAACAGGTGGGCTTAAACAGATGGGCTTAAGCCAAGTAGGGCTGAAGTCTTATCAGTGAAGACTAAAGCAGGTCTCTCCGAGCCCAACCCTCCATCAGCTAGTAAGCACACCCTGACTGAGAAGTGCAAAGTGCTGGCTGGGGAACAGATGTCCCCTGGCAGGGAGGTGGAATATGAGGTTCCATGCAAAGCTGTGACAAAGTCAGAGGTGTCCATGTGTGAAGAAGCGGCTGAGGGGGTGGGAACGTGAAGTTCACATGCTCAGTTTTCTAATGCTGGCTCTACTCAACAGAGTCACTCTCCCCTGACCTTAGACAAGCTTCTTGTGGTCTTGCTCCATCTATGACGGCAGAATGGTTTCTAAACTTACTTGCCAATCTAAGGAGGGCTTAGAAAACCCAATCCCCATATCATTACCACAAACCTCCAAGGAGGCCAGGTCAGACCGCCTTCCTAGGATTTCTGGAATTTCTCAGGAAATTCCAATGCAAGGCCAAAGAGCCCTCAGAAAACTCTGAATGTAAGAGGATTCTGAGTTACCAGTCTACCCTTGACTTGGGTCCCCGAACAGTCTCCTCCCACCTGGAAAGGCCTTCCTCAAGTGACATAAAAAAGGGACCAGTGAGCTGATTCCAAACTCCACCTTGCTTGGTAGGTAGACACTATGAGATGATGTTATAGATATGTGTTCAAGGCTTCTGGGCCAAGTAAATCTTTTTTAAAAATGTAATTTCCCAGTTACTTTGATCTATAAAAAATTAGTGTGTGTGTGTGTGTGTGTGTGTGTGTGTGTGTGTGTCCTTGTTTAAACTTTAGAGGCTTAATATCATGGGATTCTGACACACAGAAGGCTCAGGCCCCAAAGAAAAAAATGCTATTTGATACAGTAAAACCCTAAAGTGACACAGGTCAAGGCAACCCTCTGAAATTCACAGTACACCTTCTAATCCCTTACATCATATTCTAAGCATCTCTTTCTGGTTTTACAATATGCTTCAAAAAGCCTTGAGTTGGAGGATAGAGAGACAGCTCAGTGGTTAAGAGCACGTGCTAGTCTTGCAGAGAACTGAGGTGTTTCCCAGCATCCACATGGGAAGCTCACAGTCACCTTTAACCCCAGTTCCAAGAGATTCGTTGCCCTCTTTTAGACTCCATGGGCCCTAGGCACACACATGGTATTCATACATTCATGCCTGTAAACACTCATACACATAAAATAAAAATAAATCTTTTTTTAAAAAAAAGTTTTGAATCAGTAAATAAATGATAATGACACCCTCAAATGGGGTCTCTCTCGGGAGGAGGTGGGACAGATTTTCTGGATATCCAAAGCTTCCTGACAATCTAAAGTAATGCTTATATTCCTCTGGAGGAAGGGCAGTGGTCTCTCTACACTTTATGTCAGTATCTGCAGTCTTTAACCAAGGGGACCACAAACCACACAAGGCCAACACCACCAAGGCTCCATTCCCAGATAACTCTCCACAATGGTTCCTCTTGACTGTCAAGTTGACAGGAGTCATATTAGTGAAGTACATCCTTGGATATGCCAATGAAGACATTTTCAAAGATGATTACATTGTGAGGACTCTGTCCAATCGGTGGTTTAATCTATCCATGAATTCAAGATTTACTCTTGGAAGGTTGTGAAGCTGAAGCCTGGTTGGGGGAAGCATCTCACGGGGGCCATCATCTTGTCCTGGCCCCCTTCTGTTGCTGCTTCTCTCTGTTTCCTCTTCACAAGGGTGTGAACAGCTCCACCAGGCCCTCCCTGCCATAACAGCTGAATCTCCTAAAAACCACCAGCAACCAACAACTTTCCTTCCTTGAGGTGTTCTGCCAAGTACTTGGTAACAGCAATGAACAGCCGAATACTCTCTCATTGAGTGCTGAGCCCCGCAGATGTTCACTAAGACTGTGCTGAAGGGAAGGAGGCTGGCAGTCTTGAGTTTCAGACCTACAGATGGTGAGTAGACGCTCATATCCTTTAGAGAATTCTCTAGAAGCTAGAGAATGCCACTCCAGGAAGCTCCTGGAGACCAGTGGATCTGTTCTCAAACTCAAGGAAACCCAGGGCATTGTGTGCTAAGCCTGCCTGTGTCGTGGAGAAGCCGCCTATGAACACAAAAATCTCTGGGTCTCTCAACATGTAGCTAGATGCTTTTTCCATCAATTTCAACAATCCTTCCAAATTACCATAGGTAGGAGATGTTTCCTTCTCCCCAACACATGCGTGCGTGCGTGCGTGCGCGTGTGTGTGTGTGTGTGTGTGTGTGTGTGTGTGTGTGTGTGTGTGTGTGTTTTCCATCCACGGCCTCCTAGGCTGGCCAGTGGAATGAAGTGTGCTGGAATCTGGTGGTTCAAGAAAGGGTTGTGAAGGGCACCTTGAGATTAACCATAGTTTGTTCTGGTCCTGTAGCCAAGTCCTGATAAAGTTGAGAGGGTGTGAGAACCTCATGTCCTCCCCAGCCAGGCTCTGCCCAAATCACAAGAGCAGCGGTATGCTAAAGTCATGCAGAAACCACGTAGCAGCTGCTCAAAAACCGGTTGGCTTCAGTTACTCACTGGATCAGAGGTTCTTATGCTAGAGCTCATGAGCCTTTGCTCCATGTGCCCTGTGTACACACTGGCTTTGTCTGGACAGCCAAACAACTGCCTTCATTAGCTCCTCCCAAGGAGACCACAAGCAAAGGACAGTACTAAGCCATCACGCCACACCATTAGCTGCTGATGGGCAGCATAGCTCCCTTCTGCAGCCCCAGAGCCTGCCTCTGCACCAGGCCCAAGAGTGGAACTCAATACAGACCAGAGCCAATGTGAGCACCTGAAGACGACGGCGTTTCATGTGCTAAGTGAAGACTTAGCACAAAGCTTGGGGCAAAGTCACCCATTAGCAGAATGTCCCATAAGCTTCCCAACAATCTGGGATACATGGCCACTTTCTTCCTTCACAGAAGAGAACTGGAGTGTAAAAACCAGGGTTGGAAGCAGCAGGAAATGGTTGAATACCTCCATCCCGGGGTTTCTCCAGGATCTCAGCCTCCCTGGCTCGGCACTGTCTCATCCTGCATACCCTCTTAGGAAGGAGCCCTGACAACTGACTCTATTTGCAGTCACTCCACCATCAGGGACCTTGGTGATTACTCTACTTAAAGGTGTAGTCAGCAAGGAAGGAAGTGTCGTCTGCTTGGGATCCAGACTGCTACTCCTGTCTATTAAATCTACCCTCTTGAATTGAGTCCCAACGAGTTTTCCAGGAGATACTGACACCAGCTTGAGTTCAAGTGGCAGCTTTGTGCACTGTGTGGGTCTGGGAGTGTTCATTTAGACTTGTCACCTGGGGCCATCCATCTACTGGCAGTATTTTTTTTCTATTCAGAAAGAAAAGAACTTCCCACATTTCCCAGCTCCCGATTCATCTCAGAGAGAGACAGAGCAACAGAGTGCTCTTTAGAGACCTTCCATTGGACTGTGCACAGTCTGGTCTGGCTACCTGGGTGCAGCTCACAGTTCCACAAGGCACGTTTACTACTGTGGTTCATGGGTCTGTCTGCTCCAGGGTATAGAAACTATTCCTATATATTCCTATATTCCTATATAGGATATTTTGCATTATCCCTGTGGCCCATCAATCAACACAAGGGAAATTCAGAAGACTGTGCCGATTGGACACTGGCTGGAACAGGATCTGAAGAGAGCAGGTAAATAAACAGATGGCTCACCTACCTGAAAGACTACTGAGTCGTTTTTGCTGTTCTGTGATGAAAGAAAAGAACACAATGTAAGTGATATTTATTTATACAGCACCCGGCAAGGCTGAGAAGTCCCAGCATAACTACTTAGGACCTCACACTCTGGTCCTTGCCGTTTTCTGGCTTGGGTGTTAAAACACACAGCCCAGCTGAGGCAGCAATCATTGACGTAGTAAGAGGTTCCCCAGCTCCCCGACCTACAGATCTGCACCAGGACTTGGGCCCACCAAAGTGTTTTAGGAGTCCCTCTTGTTTCAAGGTGATCCCATCACTCATGACCCTTTCAACCACTCTGGGCTCACACAGATCTTGTAACATCCCAGACTCGGTCCCTTTCAGTAAATATATTAAGGATCAGACATGACAACTGCCATCTCCTGAGCTTGCCAAATGACGGCCCTGTTGTAAGAGCTTTTTTATCTAGCACTTGAAATCTTAGCAACAGCTCTGGCTGTTAGGTACAGCTATTTTCCTCAATGAACATCCTTAGCACTGTTGCTTAGTCACCAAACATCTGCCCGCTCCAGGGTAATAAAGGAATTCTAAAAGTAATCATCATTAGCGAGGGGCTACGGGGGTTAGATTACTCAAGATCACACTGAAAACCATCTGGTTCTTGAACCAAAATCTCCAGCTTATAGTCTCCAGCTCTTCCCAACCCTCGTGACCCCCCCCCAACCGTCCTTCATGTAGTTGCTCACCCTTCTAGGTAATCATGTGGAGGGGAGCCCAAGGTCTCGTTGGCAGCATCTTGTGTGCACTCACTATTCGATAAGCACACAAGTAACCTTTACCTTCTACAGCTGCCAAATATCAAGCAGAGAAATAAAAATAGACCATACTGGTTGGCCCATGCATGCCATTTTCCTATCCCATGGCCGCATTCCTATTCTGATGCTAGAATTGGTATGGGGATGAAGTAAACAGGGCAGTGTGGGAGCTCAAGGCTAATGCACATGGCAGCTGGCCACCTAAGCTTTGAGCAAGGGACTCGCACCAGCTGCACTGGAGCCTAGGTGAGTGTCAAGCTCAGCTGGGAGGGCAACTTGCAATGTGACAACGACCAGTCAAGTAACCATGTGGCCTCAGTTTCCTCATCTGTGATGTCACAGTGCTATGGTCTCTAAAGCGATTTATGGGTGCCACATTCTGTTCTGCGAGGTGTCAGCAGGGTCTTCCTTGTCACTCCTAACTTCAAGGTTTGTGACGGCTGTTCACTCACTTACAGGATTCTCTGGCTGTTCCTGTTCACAGACCTGTCTGGGAACCATGAAGGTGGTCTACCGACAAGCACAATGGCCTGCTTGCAAACTTTCTATAACTCTGGAACCTTGTTCTCCTATCCCATCCCCAGAGTTCCTGAATCTGAACTGCAGGTTAACTAGACTCTCATGATCCAACACACAGTACAGGCGGAAAGGTCCTGAGCAGGGGGCCATGTGCCTCTTTCAGCCCTTCGGGTTTCCTGAGTCGAATCCCTGATTCGCTGACCGTGGATAAGCGATGCCCGGAACATGCTGGCATGAAAGCTCAAGAAAGGATGGAAAAGGGACCATGCTGTTCACGGCCACCAGAGTCAGGGCAGAGGCTCAGAGCCTGTTTGTCCCTAGTGGCAGGAGGCTGGCTAGGGGAGACAGGGTCATTGCCAAACTGTGCTCTGTGACAGTCTAGACAGAAAGAAATGGAATTATTTAAAAAGATGACTAAAGTGGAATTTCAGATATAGAATAAAGTTATCACCCCTTAGGAAACCTTGCAATAGTTAAGAATCTGTTCTTCTGTGAGGAGAAGCAGAGACGCTAGGCTGGGTACATTCCAAAGCAGTACCAAATACATTTGCTGCAAACCCCACTGATGGAGTTTCCTTCCCACTTCCCTACCTCTCCTGCCCTACCTGGGATGAACCCATAGTTTCTCTCTTTACAGGAAACCACTCATTAGTTTAAAGAAAATCCATCCGCCTGTAGCACCGTCACTCACATGCTTTTCTGAAGCACAATTCTCATTTTTGAACCCAAAACAGGACTTGGTCAAAATAAAGGCAGGAACCAAAAGTCCTTTTTAATGAATAAGAAAATTTTAGTCATTCAAGGAAGAAACAAAGAGGGAACTCAGACGTTTTGGTGCCTGAAAACGTCCCTGTAGGTGTTGTCAGAGGGACTTGGCAAAGGCAGCTGACATTACGCTTGGCATTTCCCAAAAACCAAGTTGCCTTGGGAATAAATCCCGATTTTTAAGAAAGTGTCTTTCTTTCTGGGAACCAACTTGCTTTTTAGAACAGTGAGTCATGAAGGAGTTCACAGAGAGGCTTTTGCTTTTTCCTGCATTTTTCTTTGTTCTACATGACAGACACTGGCAAAGAGAGGAGCTGCCAGGGAGGGTGGCAAAGCTAGAAGGAGAATGGACACTTAGACGGAGGACTCTTCTGTTCTTTGAAAGAACACTGGGGCCACACAGTGAAAAAAAAAAAAGACAGAAAGAAAGAAAAAGAACTGAAACCACTAAAGCAAGCATTTCAGATTTGAGAGAACATATTTTAAGCGCGAGAAAATGCTTTACGCATTGACTTTCTCAGTAAAAAGCAGGAAAGAGAAACCTCTCTTCAGTATGGAAAGCAATGGAAATTAGATTTCAGCCCCATCTTCTCTAAGGGAGAGGCAGGAAGGAGAGGACACTATGACATGGGTGAGGAAGGTGACAAGAGAAGATTGAAGTCAGGCTCTGAGCTATAGACAGTACACAGCCCTATGCTATTCCCTGGGTTCCACGCAGAAGAGCCCTCTCTGAGGAGATGGCCTCAAAATGTCCCATGCCATGTGGCAAAAGGACTTTTATAAACTCAAAGTTTATTCCTCTATACAACTCCAAAGTGGAAAAGTTGGGATTTAGAACCATTGCCTGAATTTTAAAGCAGAAAGGTAAAAATGTATTATGACTATTTCAAAGCTCTTGGGTTTTTATTGACCCTGAGGCCCCTTCAGAGATGCAACAGGACTAACTGGAACAGCCAGAGAAACAATAGGAACCAATCAGAACCCCTAAGCAGAGTTGTCTGGGCCATGTGGATGGAAGCAGTGCAGACAGACATATGAGTCTCCATCACGGAGATTGCCACTGAATGGCCACTCACCACAGAGTCTTCTGTAAGAAGAGGACTAGCCAGTAACCAGAAGACAGCCTAGGAGCCTCTGTTACAGAGCCACAAAGACATGCTCTACATTGTAGACAATCATCTATTCACTGTTTCCTCTTTTGAAACTTGGTATTGAAAACTATGCTTTCTAGAAACTGACTACTTTGAATGAGTCAGTCATTTTATGACAGCAATTAAAAGACATTGCAGGCACGTTTGAGGCAAAGCACCATCACAAATCATACAGCAAAGAACCAAGAGACACACACTTGCATTTTTGTACATGAACCATCTGCAGATAAACACACAAGATGAAAGCACAGCAATGAACTTGAACTAGCCCAGTTTCACAGATATGTGACATCATTCCAGATCAGGGGCCTCTGTCTAGGACTGATCAATCTTGTGGGTACTACAAGAGCTGGGACGGATGGCCTGGGGCAGGGTTGGGGAGAGTTGCAGACTACACCCTGCAAGAGACTGCCTTACCTCGGTTGTGCTGCAAGAGCACAATGGTGGGGTTGACGATTGTGGTGGAGGGGTAGGCAGATGACGTTTTGCTTGTTGGAAGGAAGGCTTGGGAATTAGTTTCAATATGGGAAGAAGAAACTTCATTTAATAAAGGACTGCCCTGAAAAACAAAACATTAGAAAGAAGAGTGAATACAAGATATCTAGAATTAAGACTCTGTAAGAAGGAATAAAAAACCTTTACAAAGACATTAATTATAAACAAAAATGTAACCAATGAGTCAATTCCAGTTAGAAGGTTAATCTGGAAATTTATTCTCCTTGTATGTATTAGTAAGGGGCAAGAGAAGGAAGGTAAGTAAATGTTGCTGAAAGTCTCAGAATCATCCATTATTTTCACCTAGTAATAGTTGTGTATCAATCTGGTTACTAAAAAGCAAATTCAAATCAAAATAGAACAACATGCAAAACTCATGCAATTCTAAATGCGATCCAAGAACGAGAACTGGTTAAGTGGAAAAGTCAGGGAAGTTAAGGCACCCTATAGAGAGATGTCAGAAAGAACAAAGAGGAACCCCTTTATAATAGTTCTCAGGAAAGTTATTATGAACTTCAGAATCACTGAGCAAATCCAGCAGCTTTGGCTTCTGAGCTCTAAGCAGGATCCTACCTTGCTGGGACATTTCTTCACTGAGCATCAAAATAACAGAAGTTCTTTGAACCAAGACATGGGAGCATCTTGACTTAATTTAAATACTTGAGACCGCCCCCAGCAATATTAACAAATTACTAACACTTTGGTAATCTGATGATGGGGGTAATACCAGCCTTTTGTTTCCTCTACCACACTTATAGATTCTGCAAAGTTTTTATTTTATATCTTCCAAACCTTAAAGCAAAGATGGCAATCCTCATGACCTAGTTCTGGGAACTGAACTTAGGGCTGAGCCTGTGCTAGGCAAACACTCTAATATCCTCAGCCCCAGGATGGCATTCTTTTCCCTTTCCCTTTTGTTAAAGATAGGCTCTCACTATAAAGCCCAGGCTAGCTTGAAATTTTCTAAGTAGACCAGGTTGGCATCAAATTCAGAGATCCACTTGCCTCTAGACATGCATCACTATGCTTGGCAAGATGGCATTCTTAAAGGTGTTTAAGAACAAGATATTGGTAGCTATTTTTAAAAAAATTAAGCTCAGAGACAGCTACTGCATATACAGCTGCAAGACAAGGACCCCATGCCTCCCTCTTCTGCCACCATACAACACAATACCCTGCAAGTAGCAGGTGCTCAGAAAAATACTGTGTGAGTGACAGGAGCTATCTACCAGCAAGGAATATGTGGGCTAAGCTTTGTGGCAATAGAATGCAGGTTCATGAGGAGAAATGTGGGTTTCAGCACCCTGGACAGCTCTTGACACACAGTAGGGGCTTTGCCACCAATGCCTTGGTTGGGCTTTCTTTAAGATGTTCCCTGGATCGCCACTTCTATGAGCTCAATTTTGTGAGTAAGATCTTTTCCCAAGGCTTGAGGAGTTTGTGTCAACTTACGGCCTGGATGCCACTCACGGGGCATCCAAAGGGGAAGTCAAGCAGTCTGCTTTTAATCTCTAACTGTTACCTAAAGCCAAAGTAAACGTTATTAAGTCAACTTCTGGAAAGTCTACTGCAGAGCAATTAGGAAAATTGGACAAATTGTGTACACTATCTCAACTAATCTGTCCTGGCACACACACACACACACACACACACACACACACACACAAAACAAACCCCAATATGCAAACCTAGAGCTAAACAAATGCCCAAAAGCAGAGTACATACCAGGATGTCTTATAGCAATATCTGAGTGCACTCTGCTAAAACTCACTCTGCTTGCTGCACAGAGAAACACACTAGAAAGATATCAGTACATCCTAAAGCAGAATGCCTTCAAATTCACCTAGGAGGAGAGGAATACATCAGTCTGCAGCAGAGATGAGCTCCAAAGCTCAAGCAGAAGAGCCAAACTTGTGGTTACAGCTGCCCTGGTCCTGGTCTAACTACCCTGAGTTCTATCTGGAGATCGGAGAAGAGTTCCAGCCCATGGTGTCATCGTTCTGTAAGCTTCCTTGTGCCTAACACTTCATTACAATTTCCCTACAGAGCCAAATAAGAACTTTCCTTCCTGTTCTCTGATTTGATTCAGCTTAACAAGCCATTTAAGCTAGCTTTGTTAGCATCCTTCCTCCAACAAAGGATGCTAGTAAATGCTTAGCTCGATCAGCAAATATTCAGCTCACTGTACATCTGTAAATAGTGTTTATGGCCTCAACATCAAAACCCTTTAGATACTTGCAACCAAGTGAGAGGCCCTGGCCCCAGCCCCTTCCCAGACCTTCCAAATCCATGATATATAAACTCGACTTCTCTAGCCTAGAGAGCGGCTGTATTCTACCCCCTCCTCCAGACTCTTCAAGAGCAGGAGCCCTGGCTCATTGTAAGTGGACCTGTGGAACCTAACTGCTTAAAAGCCGGTAGGGATGAAGCCATCACTAACTAACCAGTTACTTCTTCATTCACTAGTCCTCAGCAATGCAGCCAACAGTAACCAGATACTTCACCTATGCTGAACCAAACCATGAGTTCCTATCATGGGAACTGTGACTATTCAACCCCACTGAACCTTATGATGCCATACATTCAGATTCTCTCATCCTGGGCTCCTAGAGAAGAAGACATACTGTGCCGGAAGCAGCTGGGCCAGCTGTGAAGAGACTCACACTGAACTGTCAAGACCTTCCAACTTCCAGCAATTAGTGATATACAAGTTTGTCACCAAAACCACAGTGGCCTCTTCCTCAGGGGCCCTAGTAATTACCTGTCTTGTGAGAGAAGGTCTTGACATACAGGTTTTCGATGCATTTACTCAATTAAACCTCTCCTCCCCCACACCGTCTCTGTACTTCTGTTAAAAAGAGAGCTCACTTATGGAATCAGCCCAGAGGGAACCTGCTCCTCATTCACAACTCTCGCTCCGTCATTCCCACACCTGCCTATGGCTCTCCACGGGACCCTACAGCTTTCCTCAGCCTTGAGAGCAATCCCTGTCAGGTCTGAGTAATGGCCACAGGTGCTTCTCAAAGGAAAGACAGAGTTCCATCAGGAAGACGTGCACTTGCAATAGAGCAGAGAAGAGAAAGTTCTTCAAAGTCAAGAGCGCTCATAGGTGGCCCACAGGATGCACGGGGAGGCATGCACTCGGAGACAGCAAACACAGGGCCAGCCATCACACAAGCACAGTGGCCAAGGCCTCCTCAGAACTTAGTACTTCAGTGAGAAAGGGAGGGTTTTACTGCCAGGAGCAGACATTCAGGAAGCCGTGGGGAAGGGGGTCCAGCAAGCTTACGGTACTTGTGACAGCTCCCGGGAGGTCAGGCTCCAAGCCTCTGTGGAGGTCCTCCAGTATGGGAGGGACCAGCGGAGGTGGTGGTGAGGGTGGTGGCCTCTGGCTAGCAGGGGGGAGGGAGCCACAAGCACTGGCTGGCTGGCTGTGGTGGGGCCGCCTCTGCAGATGAGGGGGAATGAAATCATCTAGTGTCGGGAAGGTCAAAGGTGAGGCAGCAGGGGTGGTCGCCGGGATAGTGTGGACGCAGCCAAGTGGCCCCAGAGATGCCGGAGTAGAGGCAGTGCCTTCTTGCCCTCTGTCAGTATTAACCAGGTAGAGAGGGACAACTATTACCTCAGACGAGGCTTGGCTGGAGGAGGTGGCATCCTGTGGGAAATAAGGGGTCGTTACGCAAAGGGGACTGCAGAGAGGCAGGAGTTCCACATTTAAACAGTTGCGCACGGACATGCAGTGATGCACTTTGAGAAATATTTAATCAGTGCCCTTTCCTCAGAGTACATGAGACAGTCAGTGCTAGCCAGTGCTAGCCAGCTGGCCTCCTGACACTCTATGACACAGAGGGAGCCCCATCCAAGTTCACTTTCCATCCATCTATTTTTGAATCCTCTTAACACTTTATGAGGGAGAAAGAGAGCAAACAACAGAATAGACAGGCAGGCAAGCAGGCAGTGTCTAATGTTGCTAAACCGCCACACAGCCTGCAAGCTTGGGAATAAATACAGCTTCTTTGGCACCTTCTAAGAGGATACAAACACTCTATCTTACCACATTATTAGTCTATGAATTCCACGCTCTGGCATCCTGAGACATTTACAGACAAGAGACAGGGAGACAGAAGAGGCTACGCTGGGCAGTTTAAAGCGAAGAATTCAGGATTCAAGCGCTGTAGTACTAACGAGGAGAGGGACGGTAGGGAAGCCCAGAGAACAAGCGAGCCACTAGAATTGGTTTTGAGAGAGACAGCATAGAAGACACACAAACATTCCTAGTTTCTTGCCTTGGCTGGATAACACGGCTGCAAAAGGTAAGTTTCTTTGTTCTTCTGGCTTTCGAGATCAGAGGTAACCTGGGGGCCTAGCACGGGAGGTCTCACTGCATCTGGGAACAAAGCCCATGTCCCCAGTGTGGGATTCTCACCACGGTTACCAGCATCTTTGCGGTGGTCAAAGAATAGCTTGGGAGGGTCAGGAGGAGGAGCAGGGGGTGGTTTTCCTGTGCTGGATGTGGCTGTGCCAGGGACAAGGCTGGGCGCTGGTGCCTGGGTGCCTGCAGCCTCCGAGGGAGTGTCTTTGGCTGAGTCACGTGCAGCAGGAGGGTAGGTTTCCAATGTTGCCCGGCAAATGTTATTGGATAAAGACGGGACATATAAGCTGCTGACCTTTTTATTCCCTGTGGCCTCATGATGTGGGTTAGAGCTCACATTCTTACTATACACTAATCTGGAGCCTACATAGTGTGGCTGGGGCTGGGAGGAAGCATCAAGGACCATGGACCCCAAAAGCAATGAACCAGGACACGCTGCCCTTTTGGGAGCCAATCTAGCTGCCAAGGGAACAGAGATGGGCTGAGGCAGTGAGGGGTCCTGCTGGATGGGGGTGCTGGGCGGGATGTAAGGCTTTGGTGAGCTCATGTAGAGGGAGTCTTTGTGGGTGCGGTGGACGGTGGGGAGCTGCCATGCAGAGCGGTCCTTTTGAGGGAACGGAAGGCGTGGGTGAGATAGAACCTTTAGTAGTGGTTTCAAGACATGACATCAGAACAGGGAGAGAGAAGAGGAGGGAGATGGAGAGAAGGATCATTAGACACAGCGCACAGCATGATAAAAGGCAAAACAACTCTTGGCAGACCTTTGAGCAAATCCTTCTGGTGCCCACAGCTGTTGTCTGGGCAGCTCCAAGGACTGACTCACACTTACCTGCAGGGCTGGCCTGACTCACAAGCCAGGGAGACCTGGTCAGCTCCAACACCAATGCTTGTCTGGCTGCATCTTTATTGACCCTCTGACTCAAGAACATGCTCAAGGGCTCACCTGCCAGCGAATGACGCCCCAGAGTTAAGTCCTCTTTCCTCCCCAACCCCCTCCCCCCGCTTCCTCAAGGCTCTTATTGAAGCCTTTGGTTTTAAAAGTTTAAGTTCATTAGACTTGTCTGAGATACTTTAATTCTTTCCCAGTAGGAAAAAGAGAAGGGGAGGCCCTCCTGTGTCCGTGTTCACAGGAGGCAGATGTCTTCCTTGAGCCTCTGATTCAGCTCTCAATTCTACAAGCATACAAAATTCACTGAGGAGAGGAGGACATTTAAAACTGAGTCCATGTGTTTTCTTTCCTCAGAAGAAATCATCTGATAGAATTAATCACTAAGAACATAGCTGAGAATGTAGCTCAGTTTGTCTGGTGTATATAAATCTCTGAATTCAATCTCTAGAATTATAATCAAAGGGCATGGAGACAGTCAAGAGATTAAAAGCATGAAGTCTCCCACTTCTGAGACACAGGGTCAAAAGAAGTCTGAGCCATCTGGCATGTAATTAGACTATGGGGCTGGGCTGAGTCTGGTTTATTCAGTCGGTCCATCACCATGCACAGGAAATCATTTCTATACAACTTTAGTCACAGTGTGAGAGCAAAGCTCTGGTAACAGGCTCAGAGTTACAGTTAAAACCCGTACCTCTCCCTTCTCCACACAACAGCTTTCTTGCATGGGTCTCAGTAGGCAGAGGGACAGGAGGCATGGTGACCCTCCAGACTGGTCCTTCTCAGCCAACCTGTGGCTCACCTGGGAACTAGACTCCAGAGAAGAAGCACCAATGCTCCCTCCCAGACTTTACTCGCTGGCCCTGATCTTCAGACTTCAGCATGAGAACAAAACCAGAACCGTCCTTTAAGTGTACACATGTGAAAGTCTAGAAGGTGGTGAATTATGGCAGACGTGTTGTAGTCAAAACCTAGGAAGGGGCTGGGAAGATGGCCCCATGAGTAAGCTTGCTTGCTCTACAAGCATGAGGACCTGAGTTTGAAACTCCAGGACCAAAATAAAGAGGTTGGCATGTCTGTAAATTCTTGTAACCCTAATGATGTGGGGTGAGAGACAGAGGGATCCCAGAGCTCACTGGCTGGCTGACTGGCCGAAAGGGCAACCTTGGGATTCAGTGAAAAGCCCTGTCTCAAAGGTGCAAGAAAGAAAACCATTAAGGAAACCACCTAACATCCTTCTTCTGTCTTCATATATGCGCACACACACATGAGCACAGCTGCATATGCATATACATGTGCCATACACACTAATTACACTAAGGCTAATTCTCATTTTATTTTATATTTTGTAGGAGTTATGTGGAAAAGGGAAAAGACATTAGAAAGGGGACTAGGTGACAAATTGAAAAAATCTTTATGACTCTGGATCAGACTATCATCCAGAAACAATGAACAGCCTGCACCTAAAACATAAATCTGAGATGACAGATAGTCTAGGTGGAGAGGCAACTACCTGGGTATTCTCAGTTAACCAGATCTATGTCTTGTCCCACATAGTGCCAATGGAGTGTGGCCATTTATACACGCCCCAAATCCACAACCAAGAGGCCCTCTGGTGATGAACTTAGGCTGAGTGCTGGGACACTCTGCAGTCTAGCTTACAATACCCAGACACAGCAACTGAACTAGCCCCCACCACTGGGATGGTCAAGTAGGGATAGGGCTGATGAGAAGCGAGCAGAAAATCATTTCGCTCCGGGCTCAGATTTACTTTGACTTTACACTAGAGCATCTTGCACATTATTCCTTTTGTCCAAACATAGAAATCTGCTTCTATGCGTTTTAAACTTAATTCACCCATGGCCATGTATGGTACTAGGACTGCATGACATCAGGCACAAGCCCTCCTAGGGTTGTGACCTTGCAGAGAGAACACTTCCCCAGAGTGTCCGCAATACACACAGAGTCAAAGGACTTCCTGTCTCAGGGCTTCTTTTAACTCTAGAGGAGGAGGAAGTTAGGCTAAGCAAGGACACAAACAGCTTTTTGCTTCAACCTAAGTATTGCAGCCCAATCTGCCCCCTGACCACTAACGAAATTCCACATCTTTTTGGAAGGTGGGCCTATGGGAGAGGGAGGCTATTTGGAAAACATGAGTTCATAGTTTATATAGTTTCCAAACTCATCCAAACTGCCAAACCTCATCTCTACTAGGATTACCATGCTGATGCTGACATCACAGACAGGGACACTGTGGTTCCGTGGTCTGGGGAACAGCAGGAAGCAAGCCCAGGTGGGCAAGACATAGGATTCCCACCTAGCCCATCCATCTTCTGGACCCCAACTCAGTCCTTAAGGGAAGATGTTCTGCCAACAGATCCGTAAACTCCACAGGACTGGAACAAAGCCAAGTAGTTATCCAACTTGCTTTGCCTTTCTTGAAGCCCATGTGCAATTATAGCAAGCACTACACAGTTAAAGATTCACGTTTACTTTCAGAAACTAAATCTGCAAAGTAGTAGACATTCTTGACGTTCAAATGGCAAATCTTACATTGGATGTGCAGGACAAAATTCTTGGGTCAGCCGTGTGCCAGTCTCCCTGAGGGCAGCCCAAGAAACGTGAAGTTGAGGGACAAACAGATCAAAGCACGTGCTGCACAGGATGCTCAACCTTACTATTCAGCTTCCCTTATGAACTCCTGGAGGACAATGTTTAGCCCATTGGCTTGAGTACTAGTACCTAATAAAGTTGTGTTAAATGCAAGTATTTTCAAAGGACTCACTTTTATCTCCAGTGATATTTATTTATTTATTTATGTGGTACTGGAAAATGAGTTATGGGCCTTGTTCAGGGGTAAGATTTTCATCCCTGAAATACAACCCTACCCTGGACCATGTTTGTGTGTGTGTGTATCACAAAACCAAGAGGCATTGGAGGGTTAGCCTTTGGTGAAAGACAATGTACTTCAATCTCTGCTTTGACTAGATCTTGTGTTCAAATCTGGGTAGAGCAACAGTACCCATCCTTGAGACAACTGCGAGGAAGTGCCACTGCTACAGACAACACGTTACATACTCAGAAAACTTTCAGAAATGGGAAAATTCCAGCAAGTCTTTTAATGGACAAGTGATCTCTGGGAGGCCAGGCATCTCCACAGCTCCTGGCTCCAACCAGGGCCTAGGTGGACAAGGCTGAAAGTGGGGAGGTAAGTCAAGACAGGAGGGAGAAAGGCTTTACAGTGCAGCCTTTTGACAAGACAGATGAGGGACAAACTGCAGAATGGGGAGTCGGGTCTGTTCTAGAAGCATTAGAACGAGGCAGGGCAGCTTGTACCACCCAGGGATCTTCTGAGCAGTAGCATCTCCTATAAGGAAGATGGCTCCATTCCATGTTAGTGGCTCCTCCTTATACAGCATCCTTTACACATCACTAGAATTAAAGGACCTATGCCTTTTAACAAAATAACAGAGTATAGAGAGGAGAAGGAAGAAAGGGTAGGAAACCACCCCAACAACTAAAGCCAACTCTACTCCAAACTGTAATAGCAGTACAGGGCTGCCTCCCATGCAAGTAATGGCCATGCCTAACCCGGCTTAGCTTTCAAGATCACATGAGATTGTGCTGGTTCAGGCTGGTATGGCTGTAGATGGGGGATTTTCTATGGCAGAGCAGAGCTGGACTGCGAAGCCAGCCTGTGTGTGCTGCCATTGTGATTTCTGTCCTCAGGCCTTTGGGCTACTGGGTTTATGGTCTGGTCACAAATACCTGATGTCCCTCTGTGACCACAGTGTTCAGAGTCTCAGCTTTAGAAAGTTAGTGGTGTAAATACCAGAGGGTTTCCTCTGATTATGCTCTAAAGAATTCCTTAAAAATAAGCTCAACCTGCCCAAGGCTAAATGAATTCCTTCTTTTAGAACCCTTCCACGTGTCTATTAATCCTAGAAAACAGCAGGCCTATTCCCAACAGCCTCACAGACTAAAACCTCAGCCCATACTCCTGCTCCCTTTGATCCCAACTCTCCTCCTAAGAAAGCTATTTCAGAGATGAGCAAAGACTGAACCCCTACTCCACAATCCAGCTGGGTTAGCAGGAAGCCACAAGTTTGGGCTGCCAAGTTTGAGAATAGGCACCACTACTGAGTTCCCACTCCATCTGTGGGCACACACCTACCTGGGGCTTGTCAGTGGAAAGGCTGGGATGCACGCTTCTATAGCCCTTGGCAGCAAGTGGGGAGGGCTGGGCGTTGCCATTGGCATCAGCACTGGACGAAAGTCTCCACTCCTCTGTGGCAAGACAAAAAACAAAAACAAACCCCATCACTCCGAGGTAACACCCGCTGGCTTTCCTTGAATTCAAGGATCCCGGGTGCCCCAAGGCACACGCGGAAAGTAGGCATGCAAAGCCGTACCTGCTGAAGGGTCCTCTTGCTCCAGGCCTGTGCGCGGAGCGAGAAGGATGAAAACAAAAAGGGAAAAACAGAAACGGTTACGTTTGAGGGAAGCAAGCATGAGACACACTGGCCGATGAAAATCAGCAGCCCTGGCCTGACACAAAACACCCTCAGTCACGACGGCCCCATTACCATAGGAACCCACTTGAAACCATGATGTGTTCACAGGCACTGACCTTTGAGAACACAAGGCTACATTCACAGGAATGAAGAAACAATTGTTCCTTGACATTCTTTACAGACGGAAAGGCAAAAGAACTCTCTGCCGCCCAGTCCTTCGCAGTCTCATTCCCCATCCCAAAGCTTGCTGTAGGCTAAGCAGGACTGCACCTTAGCAGGCTGAGTTAATTACTGGACCCTAGTGGTAGAACATGACTGAAGCCTCTATAGCATGTTTTCGGTTTTGTTTTGTTTTGTTTTGGGGGGGGGCGGTGGCTTGTTTGCTTATTTGTTTTTTGATCCCTGTCTTCGTCCCATTGCACAAGGCACAAAAACATTCACAATATGGGCTGGAGAGGTAAAACATGAGGACCAGAGTTCAGATCAGAAATTTCAAAGGCTTTGACACGGTATATAGTATCATTCTTCTTCATATTTTTCTATCAGCCATTTAAAATATAAAAGCCACCTTAGCCAATAAGCTGGATTTTGCTCGTGGCCAGTTTGGCCACCCCTACTCTTGCAATCTTTTAACATCCCGTCCCCTATTTCCTGAAGAACCTTCTTTTCTCACTCCTGTAGAGACAAGCAGGGGACTCACTGTCCTTGAAGTCCAAGCCTCTACTTCAGTGTGGGTCTCTCAGACCAACAGTAGACTTCCCAGATGACAAGTTGAGATGTGCAAACATTTATTAAGCACTTTTCGGGGGCCAGACATGGCTCCACTTTACACCTATTTAGTATTTAATTTAATTAAATGCTTACTGTACTTCATGGATGAGAAAGGAGAGAGGCCAAATGCGTTGCCCAGATCAGAAAGCCTCACACAGAGGGATGAAGCAGTACAGTAGCACACACAAAGTTGAGTGGGTAGGGAGGTGGGAGTGGATCTACAAGGGGTTGGGAAGGGGAAGGTGATCAAAACGCATTGTAAAATCTTCTCAAAGAATACAGATATTATTTCTAAAATATCCTTATTCGGGAGGAAACAACATATTATCATACCCCCAAATCCAGAATTTTAAGGTGACTCAGTTATACTCCCTTGTATAGGTTGCCTATTACATCTCCGCCACTGCCTTACAGACAGCTCATAGCTAATTGTCTTCTCCAAGAGCCGCCATGTTAAAGACTCACAGGGTATGCGTTCCACACATGCTGCTATTACTGCACTGTACTGGCTGGGTAACCAGAGCAAGGCTTTAACCACACTAAATTTCACATTTCTTATCTGTAAACCAGGATCTCTCCCCCGTGACCTTCTCTCAAAGTTGCCAAGGAATCTGAGATCAGGCATGTGAAGGTAACCATTTAATACTCACTACTAGCTAGGTGCCTGGCCCATAGAGCTTCATGTACCTGGCAGCCCCCGAGAATACAAGTGACATTCTGTGACAATGGCCCTTCATCCTATTCACTCTAACACTTTTCATCGCCCTTCTTTTCCAAGTTGCTGTTTCTAGACACTGCTTGTTGGGCCACTTTTCAAGTGCATTGACTTTATATACACACCAGACAGCAATAGGCTTGTTCCTTGACAATGGGGGCAAATGCAGCACACAGACTTAGGGACACGTTCTTCGGCCGACTTTTCGGCTGCCTGCTGGGTAGGTTCTATTCAAGTCACACTAGAAAACAGACACGTCATGGAAACGGAGGAGTGACTGTTCTTCTAAACTACAGGCTTCAGAAGGAAGTGATCCTCATGCAATCAGATCACTTCTTGTGAGCTCAATCTTCTGCCTTGTTGACTGCATCCTCACCTGCAAAATAGACATGACTCTTTCATGAGTCACAGGACCAAATGAACGTATATGGCACAGCGGCGGGAGAGACAGATGGCTCAGTGGTCCAGAGTATTTGTTGCCCTTGCAGAGGACCCAGGTTCAAGCCCCAACTAGTCAGTTTTCTTTAAGGGTGTAAACCCTGACATGTCAGCATGGTAGTTCACAACCAACCCTAACTCTAGTTCCAGGGAATCTGATGCCCTTTTCTGACCTCTGCAGGCACCAGGCATATGGCATATACACAGTACATGCAGGCAAAACATTCATACACATAAAGTAAATTCAAACATATTAAAATAAAATATATGGCATAAAGTAGGGCTTTATAAAGCTAAAATCCAAAACACAGGGAGAGAAATCCCCACAGTTATAAATTACAGGGTATGTGTGTATTTATTATGGTTTGGGGTTTTGTGTGTTTTATGTCAATGTGTGGAGAATATATATATATATATATACATATATATATACATATTTGCCTATGTATGTGCATGTGGAGGTCAGAGGTCAACAACTAAGTGTCTTCCAGTCTCTATCCATCCTGATTTTTGAACAGGTCTCTCACTAGACTTGGCACTCACTGATTCAATTAGACTGCTCACTCACTAGGAAGCCCACAGTGTGTGTATCTCTCTCTCTCTTTCTCTCTCCTCCCCACTCCAGCACTGGGGTTATAGACAAACAGCTATATTGGGCTTTTACAGGAGAGCTGGGGATTCAAGGCCAAGGCCCTCGTCCCTGCACTGGCAGTACTGAGTCATCACCATAGCCCTGTCTGTTTTTGAATCAGGGTCTTAATATACAGTCTGGCTGTAGCCCAGGCTGGCCTCAGACTCTCAGCAATTCTCCTGTTTCTGCCTCCCTAGTAGTGAGATTACAGGCGTGTAACACTACAATCAGCTCAAAACATCAGAAAATTCCCAGAGATATAAACTACAGTATATGATCTCTCCATTTAATAAAATCAAAGTCATACTGCCCTTGGAAATGACTCGGGTTTTCTTTTTTTTTTTTCTTCTCATTTCAAATCTTTAAAACTGCTTCCCTCACTGTGCCCAGAAGGTTAGTTCCCCAGATCTCAGTAAGCAGCCTGGCTCCTCCTTACTGAAGGAGAGCATATCTCTGGCATCTTGTCAGTCCTCATCCATTATCTTTTCTTCTGAATCTCCAAGGTTGGGAGCAGCCCTTTGTCAATTATATCTGAGAGCACGAGGTGAAGCTTTACATACATAGTCATCAATCACGGACTGCTGATGGAAGAGACTGTCAAGATGCTTCCTCCAATAAAATGGAAGGTTGGCTTGTAGGTAGATTTGCAGCCTGGAGATGCTCAACCCTTCAGTAAAAGACGTAATCTACTTTGCCTTGTATCCCCATCTGCTCTTTATGGACCTTTCTGTCCCGTGGTTAAAGCCTCCAGAGAGCTGCTTTTATCTTATTCACTTCTAATTTCATTTTGGTTTCTTGCTTATTTTAAAAAAAAAACAAACAGTAATTTCTTCTTGGGGTCTTAGGCTACTGTTCATTAAGGCAGACTCACGTGGTCGGGAAAGAGCTCACAAGGTGATGACCTGTGCTAGAAGTAGGTTCACGTGTGCGCTGACTCTCACTTCTACCTTCCTTTTATTTATGCGACATAGTGGAGCATTTAATATCATGAATGAAAAAGTCTGGCCTTTACCCTAGGCTTCTGGGAGGTAAATCCCAAGTCCCTGGAATACTACACCGAATAAGAATGTCTTGTTTACCTGGGGACTTGAACCACACCAATATGATTTGGAGCCAGGACTCTGAACCAGTAAGAGCTTCATTGCCTACTAGACGGGTCTTCAAGGAAGACAGTGGCACCTATGTTCAGAGCCCTAGTAGAACTTCAGACACAGAGGCTCACACACTGGCGCTAGGAAACCATGTGTCTGGAATGCTTTGGTGTTTCCCCAGACCCTATACCATGCACTTCTGGGCTGATTTTGATCTCTGTCCTTGGCCTGTAGTAAACAAACTGGACCCTTTGAGCATTAGCACTGAGCCTGAGGTGGTTTGAGAAGTCCCCTAAATTTTCAGTGGGGTGTCAGAAGGGAGGATGCTGTCTTCTGAGGCTCTTTCCTTGAACTTTTCAGTGGGCCCTAATTCTTAAACATATGCTCATAAAAAGGACTGATTTAATGGGTAAAGAGCGCCTAGTTTATGAGACATTTGCTACTGCCAATCAGAAGAGTGTTGCAGGGTATCTGTACACTGTGTGAATATATATTGCTGTGACTTGGTTTAATAAAAAGCTGAATGGCCAACAGTCAGGCAGGAGAGGTTAGACAGGACTTCCGACAGAGAAAGGAACTCAGGAGGTTAGAATCTAGAGGCATGAGAGATGCCAGCAAGACACGGAGCAAGTAGGACATACAAAATGGAAAGGAGGTAAAAAAAGCCACATGGCAGAATGTAGATTAATAGAATTAATAGAAGCAGATTAATTTAAATTATAAGCACTAGTTGGGAACAAGCCTAAGTTAAAGGCCAAGCTTTTATAATTAAAAATTTAAGTCTCCGTGTCATTACTGGGGAGTTGGGGTCCCAAAGAAAGCCCAGCTACAAAAGAGCAAACATAAGAATCACACAAGAGGAAACGAGTTAACTGTGGCTGCAAGTCATTCTGTCCTAGGGTAACTTTGCAGCAAACACTGGGGCCAATGAGCACAGTGCCCAAAATGCAAGAAACTGCTAACTAGAGGCTGGCGTGTGAGTCAGGGCACAACATCTGAGGTTAGCTATTCGGCCTCCAGACCACACCAGAAAGGAACTGGGAATTGCACCCATGTCCAGCGCAGACTCCTTAACTACTCTTCCAAAAGAGTAAAAACAAAACAACAATAAAAGCCACTGACCTAGGACACTGGTAGAGCAAACACCCAGCCATGCTAGGTAATAAAATCAAAAGGAAACAAGGAGACGAGTAACGAGGCTTCTCCCCGGCTCAGGAAGTCAGTACTGAAATTATTCCCACATTCTCAGGTGTCTCTAATCCCACGGTCCAAGGTCCATAATCAGAACTGAGGTGTTGGTCAGGGACCTGGGGTCCAGCTACCACTCAAAAAGAAATATATTCTGGGGTACAGAAATGGCTCAGTGGTTAAGTGCCCTTGCTGTTCTTTCAAAGAACCCTGGGGTTCAGTTCTCAGCACCTACATGGGACGGGGAAGCAGCCTGCAACCACCTAGAATTCCAGGTCCAGCGACATCTGTCACCTCTGTTTTCCACTGACACCTGTACTACATTTGCAACCCACATAGTGGCACATACATACATAATTAAAAATAAAATTCAAAAGTTTTAAATGTATATATCACAAACATTGAGTCTGAACAGTGGATTTAAATGGGCCATCTCTGAGGGCCCAGCTTCCTTCTCCCTGCCCTGATGCTCACATGTGTGCTCCATCTTGGTAGTAGCAATCCACGACAGAAGATTCCTCAATTTTCCTCTGGTTCATATGGACTCACAGGACTCATGGATTCGCACTGTGGACTTTGATTTCCAAATGCCTCCTAGAACTTTCTCCTGAAGCCCTTCTGTCAGGAAACTCAGCATAGCAATGATGGAATAGAACATCTCTTCCCAACATCCTTCACAAATCCCTCATCTCCATGAGAACCATAATCTAGAAAACCACCAGGTCAGCCTGGGGTCCTTGAGTCTCACATCAAGCCTTATTATTTCATTCTTTCAAAGACACTTTATCTTGTCCTCCATCTCCACTGCCCTCACTCCTATCCCAGAACATCATGCCTTCAAACTGATAGGATTCAAACTTTAGGAGTCCTCCTGACATACAGCAACAATGAGGACTATTAGTAGAGGCCTATGCGAAACACTTGTTATGAGAGAGCTCAATTAATGCCACCGACTCCAGTATAATAGTGCCCAATTTATAGATGAGAAGATTGATCCATCTAAGATCCATCTTAGATCCATCTAAGGTTGATGGATTTGCCCAGATTTCAAAGACTGAAAATGCCAATGCCAAAACCCAGGAGACTCTGTGATAGTCTAGCTGTCTCTCTCAAGAGAAGGGAGCTAGAGCAATGGCTGACAATTGGAGGTATCTCTGTAACGGAGGTGTTGGGAGCCATTTAAAGACTGGCGCTTCTAGCTCAGGCTAGTCAGCAACATAGAAACTTATAGGGGTGAATGGGGGTGGCAAAGATGGAGAGCACAGGTGATGAAGGGATCCAACAGCCTCGGTTTACTAGGAGGAAGACACTTATTTACTATAAGAGGCATCCTAGAGGAGAAACTGTAACCTCTGCTTTACCAAACCAGCATAATTTCTAATGACACTCAAGCATTTATCGTTATAGCTACAGACAAGTATAGTTCCCACCCCTTATCAAGGAAGCTTCCCTTTGCAGCAAAGACCACTACAGAAAATCACAACCTATTAAATGCATGGTTGTGAATCCCAGTCCCAACCAATACATCTGCAATACAAGTCCTACACTTATGGCTCAGGGATCATTGTGGAAAGGTGGGCAGAAAGATTCTAAGAGGCAGGGGAACAGGAAGCTTGCTGTGAGATTGTGCTGCCTAGCATCGCCAGAGATGCTGTATCCATGAAGTCTCACCAAGATGGCTGCCTAAACATGACCTGCACAAGGACAACACCAGCAGACATGATAATGTGGAAGGGGGAAGCTCACAAGGTCTCGACCTTAGACAAAGAACTAGAGGCAACTGAGGAGTGCTGAGTGCGGCAGAAGTAGTCTTCTCCAGGGAAGAGCACATCATTGGCTATCCAATGCCAAAGGGCCAGCCCAGAAAACATATCCATACAGGTGATAGTATACAGTCAGGGCACCCTGCATTCAGATATTTAGGAATACACCCACAACCATCACCACCACCACTGCCGCTGCCACCGTAGCCGCCGCCACCACCATCGTCGCCATCACCACCACCACCACCACCAATAATGACAAAGAAAAAGAGGTCATGATCTTAATGAGAGTAAAGACTGGGGGTTCATGGGCGAGGCTGAAGGGAGAAAATGAAATTATACGATAATATTTGTTGCTGTTTTGTTTTTCAAGGCAAGGTTTCTCTTTGTAGCCTTGCCTGTCCTGGAATACACTCTGTAGACCAGGAGGGCCTCGAACTCACAGAGATTCACCTGCTTGTGCCACCTGAGTGGTGGGATTAAAACTGTGCACCACTACCACCTGGCACTATAATCTTTTTTGAAAAAAATAAATTTATTTTTAAAAAAGGTGTGCATGACTGATAACTGCCTCTCAGTTCTTCCAAGTACATGTACTGTTAGAAATTTTTTAAAACTTGCTGAAAATATTGAATTCTTTCCCAACAAATTCACTGGGATGAATTTGTAGGGATTACCACAGAACAAAAGATGGTACTTCCTGGAGCACCTCAACTGCACACATAATTCTGTAGCACAGTAGTTCCACAGCATGCGCCACAGTGGAGAGAGCCAAGCTCTGTAGTCGTGCCAGTTACAACCACTAGAGGGAGCTCAAGCCTCCCTCTCCATCGCCTAAGAATTGGTCAGTAAAGTTTGCTTCACTGACTTTCCCTTTGGATCATCTCTTCCCCACACACCCTACAGCCTTCTGAAGAAATTATTTTGCCTTTCTTCTCACCCACATATTTCCCAAAGAAGAGAAAAGCTGCAAACTGCAACAGGTCAGGAATCAAGAGTGGGCTTAAAAATAAGACCAAAAAGCCCCCGGCCAGCTTTTGGTGCAGAGAACTGCTCAGGCCTTCCCTAGGCCTAGGAACAAAGATGACCTCCCGGAGGATTGGTATTATTACTTCTAGGGAGTTTGTGTTTGAACCCCAGCCTGGCCTCATTCTCAAGCATCAATCTTGGTACCCATGACAGGTTGCTGGCGCAGGAAGTCAGGAGATGCAAGCATTACTCATTTGCATCCTACATAATTCCACCACACCCACCTCCCACTGCACCAAAAGTTGCAAGCCCTCTTTCCTTTATACTCTGGTTTCCAAGAGTGTGCTAAGCTTCCCAGTTTCCTGAGAAGAGAAAACCCCATTTTCTGTGGCCATTTTCAAATGTGGTTGATGAGCCAGCTCCACAGCATGACCTCAGAACTTGCCAGAAACATAAAATCAAAGACCTCACCTCAGACTTACAAGCAGGCACCACAAGTCTCAAACTCCGGGCTGGGCACATCTTGCCTGTCTACTTCTGATGACTGTGAGGCACAGAGAATGACAGCCCTATAGAGTGTTTAGAGACCGAACCACTCTATACTAAAGTAGGGATCACGAGGCTGTGCCTTCACCCAAAGCACAAGGCCACCTATCAGTCCAGAGCTTGACTCACTAAGAATCATCACAGAAGGGACAGAGTCACTGCCCTGGGGACCCTGGAGAGGAAGGACTTGGCTGATGAACTCACAACACTTCTCTCTAGTCCTGCAGAACCACAGGATATTCACCTTCTCTTCTGCATATCTCCCCTCCCAGTCTGCAGGGTAACACACCTGACTTGCTCTCATGCTTCGGAGAGTCCTGAGGGCTCACAGGGCTGCTGCTTGGGGTTTCCCTGTAGGAAGGCGAGGCCCGAAGAGTCACTGTTCCTTTTCCAGTGCAGATTTTTGTAGGGTCCATGTCTGAGAAATAAAAATCCAAAGGAGAGAGTTAGATCCAAGATACCTGAGGGAGCTACATGGTAGACTGTTAGCAGATGGTTACAGCAGGGGAATGAGATGAACCTGGGTACATCTATGCCTACTCTCCAACCATCTATGGCCAATGGAAATTAATCCGTAGCAGCATCATGAGATTAGGGAGGAGAGGCAAGGCACGTGCTGAGTAAACGCATGAATTACAATGTCAGCTGAAACATTTCCTGATGGAAGCTGGCTCATTCCTTCTATGAAATGAAGTTCAAATGGTTAAGCGGATTTCTGGCCAGTTAGTATGGCATGGCTCACAGGGGAGTTCGTGAAAGATCCCTCAAGCTTGTAGATCCCCCTTCTCACAGAAAAGGCAGCAGGCAATGAGGCGCATCAGGGATGTCCTGAAGAGAATCTCTGCTGCTTGTGTTTCTCGCTGATTAAGACCCCTGAACTCTGAGAAAGAGGAGGTGCTGTTCATGGATGGGAGCTCTCACACTCCAACGTAATGAGAGAACACATAGCCGGCAGGGTGGTCAGATAGGCTCAGTCCTCACGCAGCACAACAGTGTCCTCAGAACCTCTGCTGATCTACATAGACTCCCAACCATCCACCTTCAGAGGCACCAGGGTCAACAACGGATCCTGGGCATCTTTAAGAAAGCGTTCAAAGCATCCATCCATGTCCAGGGCTATGTGTCCCCAGTCCCTCGGTGATGTTTTAAACCACAGACACTACTCAGCCTCCACAAGCAACATCTTTTCCTATGCAATTTAAAGCTTGCGAGGAGCTGTCTGTGTCTAGAAAGTTTCGTTTACTATTTCTGACCGTGGCTCACTGTAACGAACTGACAGTGTGGTTAGCAGAAAGGACGGCTTGCTTTAACGGGCCTGGTGCCACCCTTCAGGAAAATCAGTGATGAGGCAGGAAACTGGGGCAGACCACGCAATTTCTGGGAGCGCATGTGCCAAGTGTTTCCTTATGTGCAGCTAAGCTAAGCTCAACTCCACACTCACTCCCCACACCCCCAAACTGCCCAGAGTTCAGTTTCTAAGCTCAGTTCCACACTCACTTCCCACACCCCCAAACTGCTCAGAGATCAGCTTCTGAGTTCAAACCCACACTCACTTCCACACCCCCACACCCCCAACTGCTCCAAGTCCAGCTTTCTGACCTAAAATTATCACAATGGGGACGAGAGGATGAAGCGCATGTCTGTTTCTGGGCGAGGGGAGTGAGGAGCCAAGCCTCCTTCCTCCCTGTTCTCAATGCCTACCCCAGCAGCCCTCTTCCACGGCAAGGAAAGCACAGGCACAGCACACCACAGACCATGTGGCAAGCTCACAGAGCACCTAACCCCATCAAGAGAGTGAGTGGCTGTGTAATAAGATTATTGGGAAAACCAGACTACGGTCACTTCAAAGGGGTGAGAGGCAAACTGGTAAAGCCACAGCCCATCTGTACGGTCCTGGACACACAGCCAGATCTGCTCAACTTCTGAGCTCCACTTGTCTCTCTGTCTACAGGAAACCCTGAGTCAGAGCCTCAAATGAACGGTACACCCCCGCCCCTTGGAGAGGAGAGGCAGGAAGTAACTGCAGGTGAAGCTGGAGAGGGGCTGGTCGAAGTGCTCCTGGGAATGGCCTGAGCATCATGCAGGGAACCAACATCCGACATCTATAGGAGCTGCTTCTCATTCACCCTGACTCAGAGGTTCTCTGAGAGGCCAGGTTAGCTCTCCCAAAAACTTGTGTTGTCTTAGGAGTTGCAAACCTCTTAGAAGAGCCTCATCCCAGAGTGAAGGTTGAGCGTCTGCATTAACCCTTCTAAAGCAGAGAGGACAGGCAGCAGCCTCAGATTCTTCCCTACACCCTGGCTTACAGACTTGCAACCAGACCAACCACACACACACAAAGATTCCCCTACTTCCTGGCTTACAGACTTACAGATAGAACACACACACACACACACACACACACACACACACACACACACACACGAAGAAAGAAAACAACTTAGGGGAAGGAAATGGCTTCCAAACATGCAAGGATTAAGGCTCACAGTATGGTGTTAGAAGCAAAGAGAAGAACCCATGCACGATCCGACAATTAAAAGAAAGAGCCCCAAAGAGAGATACCTGGAGGGAGTACCAGGCCTGAAGGGCTTTTCACTGTCTTCACGGGAATTATTTTAACAGCAGAAATAGAACGAACACGTAAAGGGTCGGCAGTGGCTGAAAACACAAAAGGGTAAACGGTGCATCCAGAAAGAACATTTGGGAGACACTCAGGCAAGTTGAGGAACTGTGCAGAGACAATAGAAGGAAGTTGCCCACGCTAGGAGAACAATGCAAAGAGCAGTAGATGCAGTCATTAAAAATAGCCTGCTTTCTTTCTTTAGGGTTCTGGGCCAAGGCAGCAGAAGCCTTTCTCCAACCATCACTCAAATAGAGTTGGTCGGGGTTTATTGGCGCCTCCTGGCACACCAGGAGCTTGCCAAGGCTCTGGACAAAGAGGTTTACAGAGACCCAGATGGTCTGGCAAGTAGAGGAAGGGGGACACAATCAGAGTACAGGGTGTCCCCTGGTGACAGTGGGTCATCTGCTATGCAATGGGGGCTTGGAGGACAGGATCGTGGCTGCAGACGAGTACAGCAACAGGAGGAACATTCTCGTAGACTGCTGGTCCCTTCGGCAGTCACAACTGCTTCTCCCAAATCACACCTTTTAGGATCCTGTGCCTGCCCTGATGGTCACCACCCTCTGACCTCAAGCAACTCAGAACCCCCATCTGTTGGGAAACAGATGGTCTTGCTTTTCCTGGGGAGGGGGGGTGTCAAGCGTCCAAGTGGATGATTAAGGCTCTAGGCAGCAGCATGGTACACAGTACTGGATGCTGAGACCCTGTTCCTTGCCTGCCCAGACCACCATCTTAATGGCAGGCCCATCCCCAATCTTCTTGTGAGGCCTCCCTCACTCTTTCCGCTCAACGGCAGTAAAGAAAGACGTGCTGTGGTGACAAAGCAACTCCAGTGACGGTGCCCAAGGGGTAGACGGCTTGGAAACCAGACGCTGTTGACTGGGATTGTCAAGGAGGCAGGAAGGAAGATGGGAGACACCTTCAAAATGGGCAGTGCCCCTCCTGCCCATCACACTACTGCTTTGGAAGGCATTTGGCAGGCACGGAGTATGTCTGCAATAACCAAGTCAAACGTGACAATTCTGCACGTATCTAGATAAATGAACTCTCACAGGAATCCTGTTAGCTACCTTAAAATCATTTGGAAGACTGTGTTGGGGTAGGGGTGGATTTGGGGTACCGTTTTCAGAAGAAGAAGTAAGAGGCTAAGCCAACCACTCAGTCACTCTGTTCCCAAGTACAGAGAAAGGCACTCAGTTATCCTGACTTGGTGACTTTGACAGGGCGCTCTGATGATCTTTAAACCTGCCTCTTTGTTTCCTACCAAAGGCGAGTCTTGGTAAGGCAGAAGGAAACCATTACCACCTCCTGTGGTCCCCCCACCCCTAAAAACAAAACAAAACAAAAACCCTTAAGGTTCTTCTATAGACAGATTTATAGAATGGAGCTAGCTGGTAGTCCCAAAATTTCAAAAGCCCCTCCCATGGCCCTGGCTTAAATACCCACTTGCAGCCATTCCACAGCCCTGTCCCTCCATAGTCTCTAAGTGCAAGATAGCCACGATGGGCCAAGACCCCAGGAACGTAGCCCACATGAACCCACACAGTGAAAGGAGGAGGGTGGCAAGCCAGCGAGGTGGGGACCAAGACAGCACTGACCTCCTGTCGCCAAGGAGTTCAGCCTCATACCACCCAGGCTCCCTCTCCTGCCTCCTGCCCTCTGCCTTCTCTCTCCAGGGGATCCTTTTGAGTGAACATCTTCCTTCTCAAAGAGAGTATCTGGATGCATTTGATGAAAATTACAAAGGCTAAACATGGCAAACTCTGAAATTATACTTTGGGAATTTTTTTTTTAAACTTCAATGTCCCATGCCGGGATTTTAGCCTTTCCTCACTGATACTGTAGAACACGGATAGGTGAGTGTTCGTGGAGTCACTGCAGCCCAGGACAGGATGCAGAAATAAACACTGAGTTCAAACTCCCTTCTTCTGTAGATAAGGGAACTCACACCTGCAGAGATGAAAGGGCCCCCTACAGGTCTCTGTTTTTCACAGGCAGAACTGGAATTAAGTTTATCAAATGACTCCAACTTGCTTCCTGTCACCCCATACTGCAACACTGATGTCGGATTGGGGTGAGAGTATCCTGGGCAAACAGGACCTCAAGAGTCTGCTTCCTTCTTTGAAGCAAAGGGGATTTATTAAGTAGAAGAGTAAAAGCCCTCAATTGCTAAGAGGGAGCAGCAGAGAAGGGGCCTCCGAGGTGGGATGCCTGGATCTCAAACACATCATTCCATTCACATTTAGATCTCCTATCTGGAAGAATTTCTAAAGCGAAAATGTGAGGACCAAGAAGGCAGCTTAATGGGAAAGCGCCTGTCCAAAAGTGAGAAGTCTTTCCTGACTGAATGCCCAGCATGGGGTGGGGGGGTGTTAACAACTTGAGAGGATTATACATACAACTGGTGACAGTGAAATAATTTCTGCCATCGGACTGCGGATGTGTTCCTACTCATGGCAAGTGAAAGTGGCAAGCCACATATAGGTAATTCCAGGCCAATGAGAGCCCTATGAACCAGGCGTGGCACTTAGCTGGCACTGTCTGTCTACACTGTCATCCCAGCATCCTTGTGAGCACATCATCTCACAGCTGGAGAAGATAGTTCCAGACCCATGAAGAGCAGGACCACGGCTCAGGTCTCAGAGAGCCGCCATGGGAACTAGGCCTCTTAAGATAAGGCCAATGATGTCTTCCCTAGGAAGGTGGGAATGGCCCCTGCCCAGCATGCCCTGCATCTTCTGAAATGCTTGCTGATACCAAGCCAAGTTTCTCTTCCACAGCCTTACCTTTGTCTTGCCCATGGCTGCCGGGTGCCAAGCCATTCACAACAGCTTTAGAGCTTCCGGCATCATATTCTGAAAGAAGGAAGATGGACAGAGGGTTGGTGACCATGCCCGCTCAACAATCAGAGTCCCATGATGTGGGGATAAAGTTGAGGCATTCTACCCCGACAGAGCGGCTCTATCCACACAACCTATCAGATTTCTCAGGCCTGGGACAAGTCCCCTAGGGTGCACGGGAGAGTTAAGACCTGAACCAAACAGGACACAAAAGTTATCTGGGAATAGGAAGTGTGTTATGGAGAATGCAAGCGCTACTGCCTCCCTGGCGTGGCTTCCTTGACTTTTGAAAAGTGTCTGAATGGCACCGCAAGTTCTACTCGTCAAAGACAAGCTGTCTTTTCTGTAAACTGCCTTCACATTGCCACTCTTCACTAGTCTAGAACCTTGGGTTACTGTTCCAGAGATGGCCATGGCAGCCTAACCAGTTCTTCCATCCCCTTTCCTATGAAGTCTCATCTACATGCAACAGTCCAGGGCTTCCTGCGTGTTCTCAACTCTGAATATGTGAGAGATTTTCATCTGTAGACCTTGGCTACAAAGCCCTCAGCCAGAAGACCACTTCCCCTTTTCTTTCTTTTCTTCCTTCCTTCCTTCTTTCCTTCCTTCCTTCTTTTACTTTTTTAAAAATTATTTTTGTTTGTTTGTTTTTTGAGACAGGGTTTCTCTGTGGTTTTGGAGCCTGTCCTGGAATTAGCTCTTATAGACCAGGCTGGTCTCGAACTCACAGAGATCTGCTTACCTCTACCTCCAGAGTGCTGGGATTAAAAGTTCCCCTTTTCTTACTTTAGGGAAGTCCTATGTGACCTTGAGGCTCACCTTGACCACCACTTCAATGTCACTTCAGATTTTCCTGAGTTCTGCTCAGCAGCAGATAACACTGAGTCCCCCATGCCTAGAAGGTTCTCCATCCATTACTTTGGGGAACTTGGAGACAGTCCAGGTAAGACCAGAGGATGGGAAGACCATGTCACCCCTGGCGCTTGGAAGAACCCACACAGCAAAATACCAATGCAGCTGCAAACACCATCATAACTACAGTTCTTTAAACGTGTTTTGCCAGGATTGCTACTTCTACTTCATGTGAGTATTCCACAATTGCTATTTTCATTGTCTCCTTTAGGTCCAGTTCTTGGGAGCTAGAGTTAGGAATGGCAATTCTATTGCTAAGATAATAGAGGCTCAACGGGCCAAGTCTACCAAAGACCACTAAGCTGAGACTGAACTACTCACTCACAGCCCATCTTCCTCCCCAAGATAGCATTTTTGTTTCCTGACTTGCTATATATTTCCTCAAATGCTGGGCCTACAACCCATATCGCTAACAGCAAACCTGGCTAAAACTAAGTCACCTTAATCACTTTTAATAACCAGTCTTAGACAACAATGATGACACTAAGAGAGATTTACATAGATTTAAGCTACATGGGAAGTAAAAAAAAAAAGACAAGATCTCCTGAGTAAATTGGGAGCATGGGGACCTTGGGGGAGGGCTGAAGGGGTAAGGGGAGAGGCGGGGAGAGGAACAGAGAAAAATGCTCAATAAAAATCAATAAAAGAAAGAAAGAAAGGAAAAAAACCCAGTCTCTCCAAAGGCTGGGTATCTGATAAACACCAGTCACAGGACAGCCAGGCTGCTGCATATAGAGGGCCTGAGCAGCCCCTCCTTCACAGTGGCCTGGGACTGCCCAGGGTGCATGGGGTTGTGGCTCACATTCACCTGTAGACAAAGGTTCACTCTCTGGAATCCTCAATTCAGGATGCCTGGAAGGAGGGACTTGCTAAAAGGAAATGCAGCAAGCTCCAGCATCCCATTGCATGTTCTTTTGCTGCCCTGTCCCCGCCCACCTGATGGAGTCCCCTTGATCACATCCTTCTGACTGTTGGCCTTGCCTTGAGCCTGCTGGGAAGTTGTGGGGTGTGCCTGTGAGCTACCACCTGGCCCGCATTCTTTCTTCTCCCCTTTCCTTTTGCAATTAAACATAAGAACCAAACTGGAATAAGCGTCTGGTATTTAGTAATTAACACTCAAAGCTCAGCTTTTGCAGCAACTATGTTGCTGTGTATGCAGCAGCCCATGTTTGCCTCCACTCCACACGAGCTGGCAACTCCACACAGGTGATTAATTCCTTGAAGCTCAGTTTCCCCATCTGTATCTCAGAGGCAGCAAGCCAGGCCCACCTGGGAGTTGGGGCGGGGGGGAGATGGGTAATAGCTTTCCAGAAGAATGAAACAGGACCCTGCCAGGACAATGATTCCCTCAAAGAGTGGCAGCCCAAGGCCAACTGAAATAGTAACAATACATTGCTTTACTGCGATTCTTTCCACTAAAGATACAACCACATATTTTCCATGTAGCTCTCTTCCCAATGATCAAGTTCAATAGCAAGTAAACACGCAGTATACTGCTGTTCACGCCCCACCTTGAGGGTAGCATTTTTGTTTCCTTGGAATTAATATAGAAATTCCCAAGACAGGACTATCAGGCCAAAAGGCCTAGGATTTCAGACCCCTGGACAAAGCTCCCTTCCAGCGCCTGCCTGAGAGAAGTCAGGGGAGGAAGGGCATCTGCTATGCCTTGAGCATTGGTACACCCTCACCTGGCCTTCTCCTCCTCCCCCTCCTCCCCCTCCCCCTCCCCCTCCTCCTTCTCCTCCTCCTTGCTTTAAAACTGCCAGGAGCAGCAATACTGGCTTAGAAGAGACTTCAGGCTGCAGAGCAAAGTTTCTGTTTATTTTTAAAAGGAAACAGGAAAAAGGGCCCAGCCTGTTATAAATGACAACAGAAGCCAAAAGGCAGGACTAAGGGCATGGCTCATCTGTCAAAACCACTGTTAACACATGTGAGGCCCTGCCTTCCATCTCCAGCACCACATGCGCGTGGAGTGGGGGCATGTACACACACGTAACAGAGGCAGGACAATTCGGAGTTCCAGGTCATCTTTGCCTACATAGAGTGTTTAAATCCAGTCAGGGCTATATGACACTGTCTAAAAACAAAAGAACTAACCAAAAAACAAATCAACAATAAAAAGTGAACCAGGATGGGCAGTGGGGGCGCACGCCTTTAATCTCAGCACTCGGGAGGTTGATTTCTGTGAGTTTGAGGCCAGCCTGGACTACAGAGTGAGTTCCAGGACAGGCTCTAAAGCTACAGAGAAACTCTGCCTTGCCTCGAAAAAATAAGAGAAAAGAAAAGAAACTGAGTCAGTAAAGCAGTTCCCATGTCTGCTTTGGCACAGAAAAAAAAGGGGGGGGGTCCAAGGCAAACCACAGACCTCACTCTGCAAAGAGCAAGTCTGGGCTAAGAAGAGTAAGATTGCACTTGGGGAGGCATGGTACTCAATACATTAAGGCTTTGCTATACTCGGTCTAAGAAAACTCCCAATGGATCAGCACTATTACAATGCTCACTTCACAGAGGAAAAAGCAAAGGCACATCTAGCATAGACCCGAGCTGCACAGGAAGTATATTTGGAAGGGTGCAGCCGTAGGCTTCTCCACTTCACAGCCCTCCCAGGCCTCACCACGCACTGTCCTACACAGCTCAGGACTTGGCTAAACCAGCGAAGTATGTAAAGAAATGGGAAAGGCCTTTTAATCTACAGGCTCTGAAAATACTCTCAATATGGTGCAGGATTAGAAGAACTCTGAATGAAATACTCAGGTAGTCCCCTGCCTCCCATCCCCACCTACAGGTTCAGAAGGTCAAGGTAGGAGCAACTCCCGGAAGGAAATGTCTCCAGGCTGGACACTGACAAGCCTCAGCTGCATTAGGCACAGGGATCTGTCCCAACTCTCTCTTCCCTGCTCCAAGATTTCAATCCCAGTCCAAGACTAAAAATACCTGAAACACGAATTTATTTGGATCTTGGTTCTTAAAAGCATAAGCTAGCTGTTCTGAAAGCAGGATAAAGGAAGTGCTGGGTTAGCCCCCATCCGGGGAAGATTATGATTAAACTGTGTATTTTGCATCAATCATCTTGATTAGGAAATGCCGCTAAGGTCTAGAAATAAGCCAAGCTTTATCAAATGCCGACTGAAAATACCAGCAGCTGATTGCATGTAGATTATATGTCACTAAAAGTCAAGGGGGCTCCTGTAAAGACAGACACGGCACACACAGTGTATGACAGAGTTCTTCACATGTGGGTTGAAAACTGTTGGCACCGTAAGCAGTGATGTTAGTCCTGAGGACCTTAAGGTCTATGGAAATCTCAGGAAACCACAGTTTTGTATCTTTGTCAAGAGAAAGAGGGTTTGAAATGACTTACCAGAGCTCATGCTGGCAGTGGGGCAAGTCGTCTAAAGCGGCAGCTGCGGATGGCTCTGCAGAAAAGCACACAATGGCGTGAATGAATGGCAGCGGCATGACAAATCCCCACAGTTAGTGTTAAAAATGCAAACACTGTAACCCTTGGTCAAACAGAGCTGAACTGGGAGCCACGTGGCCAGGTTTCCAACTCATGGCCTGTCACAGATTTGGGGAATTTGGGCATCTCACACAGCTTCCTGCTCATGGCTTGTCACAGATTTGGGGACGTTGGGCATCTCACACAGCTTCCTTGCTTCACTTTTGCCACCAACTGTGTTTAGATGCAACCCCAGATCTCTGCTAGCAACAAGGCAATCAAAAACTTCAATTTTGTAAATGTTAAAAAAAACAAAAGAAAACAAACAAACAAACAACAATCATCAGAGGGTAATAAGTAATTAGGGATGTTTACAGATAGCTCACAATGTACCAGGAAATGTTCCGGATGCTTTAAATAATTTATTTGATTCATGACAGCAAGCACTGATGCAGTGTGAGCTCAAGGATGGGACCCAGGGAGATGAAGCCGCATGCCTAATTGTGCTAGAGTTGATCATGGAAACTGGGTAGCCTGAATCACTCACTGGTCAAGTGCCTAGGCCCTGCCCTCCTCACTTTTAGGCAGAAACTATCAACAATGATCAGGCGAATAGCCCTCAGAATTAGAAGGTCTCAAACCAAAGGAAACTTACAGTGTGCTGTCATTTTATCATCATTGGTCTCCAACAAAAGGTATCCATTTGCTTTGGTTTGTTCGGGTTTGATGGTGAAGATCAAACCCAGAGCTTCAAGGGTATACTAATCAAAGACTAATCTCTAACTACACTGATGCTCGAATCAAACATCAGATTTTGAAAAATAAAGTGGGTATAGTGGTGTGCACCTCAAATCACAGGGAAGTGTATGCAGGGTGATCACCAGTTCAAGGGAGGTGGCTAGCCTACACTATGTGAGATGGTATGCTGTCTACAGCCATACCTAACCTTAAGCGGGCCCAGTCTCATCTGAAGCTAGGAAGGATTGGACCTGATTTGTACTCAAATGGGAGACTATCTGTAAACACACACACACACACACACACACACACACACACACACACACATACACAACAAAACAACCCTGTAACACTTTGACAAATAAACACACCCTATAAGTACCACTAAAGTCACAACATATAGCATTTCCGTCGGTTCCAGAAAAGGTTCCTGTGTCTCCTCACAGTCACGTTGTCACCCCAAGCTCCTAGGAACCACTGACTACCATCACTATGGCCCCACTATTTTCTACACACTGTATCACATATATGCAACCTTTTGTGCCTGCCTTCTCATATTTAGTATGACTCTTCTGAAAAACAATGGCTACATATGTGTAAGTGTTCTTCTGGACTCTAGCCACTGAGCTATCTCTAGCTAATAACCCACTTGTTTGACTACTATTTCTACATAACCTTGAAATCAGTTAATATGTTTCCCTACTTCATTCCTATTCAAAATCTTTTTGGTCATTTTTGGTCCTTTGCATTTCTCAATTGTTTTATTTATTTGTTCGTTCATTTGTTTTGTTTTTCGAGACAGGGTTTTCTGTAGCTTTGGAGCCTGTCCTGACTCTATATTCACTTTGGGGGAAATTAATGTTTTGACAATATTGGATACTCCAGCCACTGAGCATGGTCTCTCCCTTCCGCCAGGTCTTCTTTCATTTCTCTCACCAATGACTCAACAGGCTTTAGAGTAAAGGCCCTGAGCACCCATTGGCTCCTTCCATACAGACACCTCATGTTTTCTCCTCCTCAGACAGGAGTGGGGACTGAACCCTCAAGAGAAGGCTGCTCACAAGAACACTCCCATGTAAAAAAGAAGAAGATAGATCCATTCCAATCGATGTATAATTGCAACACAGAAATACAATGTGAGAAAGCGAGGTTGCATGACTCCTTCAAACATTTGGAACCTCAGTAACTGAGTCCAAGTATAATCAAATATGTGAAATGCTAGACAAAAAAAAATTCAAATCTAGTTTTCAACATCATCGAACCTCAAAGAAGAGTCAAGTAAACAGACAGGTGAAAAGCAGAAATCAATCAAGGATTTGCGTAAGAAATTAAACAACTTCAATTACAAATGCAGAGACAGATTCTGAAAGAAAAATGTTAAGCAAATCTTGGATATGGGAAGCTTAAAGGAAAAAGAAATGCCCCAGTGGAAAACATCACCCATACACTAGACCACATGTGGAAAGACTATCACGGATTGAAAATAAAATTGAGGGCCTATGACATTCAGAAACAATTTAAAAACTAAAATGTAATTATGACCATAACAACTAAGGCCTCTGAGATACAATTAACAGACCAAATCTATAATCTATAGTGTAGAAAATGGAAAGAAGACACAGTCAAAATACATAGAAAAGCTGTTCAAGGAGGGGCTAGATAAGAGCATTTGTTACTTTTCCAGAGGGCCAGAGTTTGGTTCCCGCACTTACCTGTGCTAGGCAGATCACAACTACCCATGATTGCAGCTCCAGGGGATCTAATGGCCTCTTTGGCCTTTGTAGGTGGACATGCACACACGCATACATATAGCATTCAGATGCACACATATACATAAATGTTTTAAAAATTATAGCAGAAACAGCTATATACCTGAGGAAAGAAATGGCCATCTAAACATTAGTCCTTTAGAATATCTAAAATATATAATCAGAAAGATTCCTCCACATCATAGAATTAAAACATCAAGAAAACAGAACAAAGTAAGAACACTGAACGCTCCTTACAAACATAAGCCCATTCAAGCAACAGCAAACCTCTCCACAAAAATTGCTAAGCCCAGCAGAGTATGAAATGGTAGCTTTTATCCCCCAAACAAAGTAACTGCCAACCAAGATTACTTTATCCAAAATAGTTAGCCTTTAAAGCTGAAAAACTGAAGGATTTTACTGAGAAGAATAAAACCAAAGCAATTCATAAGCTTATGCGTGTCATAAGGAATATTACACCAGGAAGATGAAAATATAGAAGCATCAGAGCTTATAAAGATCCATCCTCACAAGGACAGACTCACAAACACAAATTAGAGTATGTTCAAACATTGCTAACTCGGTAAAAACATCAAACCTGAGTAAGAATACAACAAAGAAGAAACCAGGTCAACCTTTCAAGAGTCTCCAAAATCTAAAGACGCGAGGAACTGACTGGATGTTTCCCAAAATAAGATCGAGCTGTTTGCTTCCTGCTGGAAAACTCACTCCATTGGAAAAGACACACACAGCTGACAGGCGGACAACGATATTCCAACAGAAAGGCTACCACCAAGAAACAAAACCCAAATGCTAGTGACAATTCAATGGACCTCTGGTGGGAAAGGAAATTAGTGAGGATACCGTGGAAACCACTGCAGAGGCTCTTCCAAAACCTAAGAAGAAGAACTCCTATATGACGGCACCTCCCGCCTTGATTCTCAGGCCACTCTTCACAAGAGTCAGCTTATGGAAGTCTAGGCATGTGTCAATGCGTGAATAAATGACAACTTATGCTGGAGAGGTTGTGGGGAAAAGGGAACACTTCTGCATTGCTGGTGGGAATGCAAGTTGGTACAGCCCCTTTGGATGTCAGTGTGACGATTTCTCAGAAAATTAGGAAAGAACCTTCCTCAAGACCCAGTAATACCACTTTTGGGTATATATCCAAAGGATGCTCAATCGTGCCACAAGGACATGAGCTCAACTATGTTCAAAGTAGAATTATTTGTCATAGCCAGAGCCTGGAAACAACCTAAATGCCCCTCGACCAAAGAATGGATAAGGAAAATGTGGTACATTTATACAATGGAGCACTACACAGCAGAAAAAAACAATGACATCTTGAATTTTGTAGGAAAATGGATGGAACTAGAAAACATCATTTTGAGTGAGGGAACCCAGACCCAGAAAGACAATTATCACATGTATTCACTCATAAGTGGTTTTTAAACATAAAGCAAAGAAAACCAGTTCACAAATCACAATCCCTGAGAACTTAGACAACAATGAGGACCCTAAGAGAGACATACATAGATCTAATCTACACGAGAAGTAGAAAAAGGCAAGATCTCCTGAGTAAATTGGGAGCATGGGGACCTTGGGGGAGGGCTAAAGGGAAGGGGAGAGACGGGGAGGGGAGCAGAGAAAAATGTAGAGCTCAATAAAAATTAAAAAATAAAAAGTATGAGTTACAAGCCAAAAATGAAGAAGTAGTTTGCTACAAAGAATTATGTCCTTTGCAGGAAAACAAAACTAGAGATCATAATAAATGAAATAAACCAGATTCCAAAAAAAAATATTTTGTTTCGTTTCATAGGTAGAATTTAGTGTAGTTTTGTTTCACTTAAAGAAAAAGTATAAAAGTACAACTGGAAAAAGTTATGGAACCAGGGTCAAAGGGCAAAGAAGAACGGCAGTAGTAGTAAACGAGACCAAAGACACAGTATCACAAAAAATGTCACAAGTGTGAGGGCTATTGTGAATTGTCTGCTTGACAGAACTAAGGACCGCAGGCCTCTGGGCAAGCCTGTGAGATATTATGTTAATTATATGGTTGGAGCAAGAAGACCTGTGCACTGTGGGTGACACCATTCCGAGACTGCATCTTCCCTGACTGTATAAAACAGAGAAGGCCAGCTGAGCACTGTGCATCAGTACTCTCTGCTATGAAGCGAATGAAGGCTTTTTAAACAATAATAAAGGTACTATATCAGATGTAGAACTCAAATATTTATTTTACATAATAAACCTCTGATACTAGCCCTGGCTCAGTCAGTAAAGTACTTGTCACCTAACACAGGGACTGAAGAGTGGCTCCCCATCACAACATAAAATGCATGGTACCTATAATGCCAGTGCTGGAGAGGTGGAGACAGGAGGATTCCCAAGGCGTGCTAGTCAACTAGACTAGCTCCAGGGTCAGTGAGAGACCCTGTCTCAAAAATAGGGTAGAAAAGTGATTGACAGAGGTACCTTGTGTCGACCTCTG